TTTGCCACAAGTCTCGCATTTCTGTTCATGAATCAGTATATCAATAGAACGCTGACACGAACCTCCGCCTACCTCTCCAGCTGGCTGGGAGCCATCCTTGCGCGATCTAACCGGCGCTGGGCGAAGAAGTGACATATGAGAACCCGCAATCGTTGGGAAGGAATCTGGAAAGGGTGTTAGACAAGGCTTCCTTCGAGTATTTAGAGTTACAAAAGTGTACCTTTCTTCAGACGCTTGCTACGCCGACCGCTTCCATCATCGTCATCGCCGTTTTCGCACTGAGAACTGTCCTCACGGCTAATCGCACGCTTCAGAGATTCTTCATCTTGACCGTTTATAGGTGTCGAGACGGAAGCATGTTCGGAAACGACTGTTGATGTCGACGCGCCGTTCTCTCCCTCCCGCTTTATTGGTGGGCCGTTGTTCGCAGGGGTGTTGCTCACGGGGGTGAAAGGGGAGTGATTGACAGCGGTAAAGCCACCGAGGCCGGAGTTGACAGGAGTAAAGCCTGCAGCCGCTGGGCGCGAAGGAGGGGGAGGAGTAGGTTCGACAGGGGGGGTTGGCTTCTCTGGGGACTTTTCCATTGGGGTATGTGCCATTGGAGTATGTGCCACTGGAGTATACGCCATTGGGGTATTTGAAGCGGCCATTCGAGGCAGGCTAGGAGTTTCATCGCGGACTTTAGAAGGCGTGCCATTTTCATCAAACATGGGCTTGTGAGTCATGGGGGATTGTAGAGGCGAAGGGGTGTATGGACCACCATGCTCAAGCTCAAGCTGTTGTTGCACACCAGGTTTGGCTCGGGCCAAGTATTCCTCGTACGGCTGCAAGTAGCGCTGGTAGGAGTTCTTGAGCGAAGTAGACAAAGAAGACATTATCTTGCCGCTGTATCCAAGATCTCGACCAATTTCTGCCCATTTTTTCGTCTTGCACACGGATTCGAACCCTCCACGACTCTCTACTGCCTTTTTGAGTTTGTAGAGATCTAATGGTCGCTTGTCGACGCTGGGTAGCCGGCTGTAGTTAGTGCCATGTTGTTTGTGAAACATAGCGAGTCCATCGACGTAGTTCATGTTCGCGCGGTTTCCTATGTTTGAATGAGGGTCAGAACCGCACTGCGGTGATCCTATAAGCTGGGGCAGCCTGATGTGCTGAATGTGCGCCCTTACCTCCTTCGACCGAATTGAGCTCTTGTCGACGGGTCTTGAAGTGAAATCGCTGTATCCATTGTCAGTATTGTCAGACGTGATCATGCGCGGAAAGCGATGGTGAATTCATAGGTGGAAGGAGGGATCCTACCTCTGTATCGATTGCGAAAGTCGGTTGCCAGCCCTCTGGTGGAACCACTCGGCAAATTCCATACTTTCTCCCCTCTGGGGCGATCTTCTGAATATAGGCCACCGGGTCTTTGAATTCTTCCTCCGTTGGACGGAAAGTCGGGGCTTCCGGGATACCATGAGGACGAATGCGCTTGGATGGTTCTCTGGGGTTGTTGGGTTGCCCACGTCGTTCCACGGTGGACAAGTCGAGAGGTGTGGACCTGCGAGCGCTCAGGGGCACGTTGTGGGAGTGCGACGGATGGGTGCTTGAGGACCGAGTCGGCTGGGCTGCCGCGGCCGTCGAGGTCGCCCCGGCAGAGGCCGGAGCTCCCATTGTTCAAAATAGGACAGACGACTAGGGAAGATGTTTGATTGAGTGCGTCTGTTTGAGGAAATTCGATTAACAATGACTGTAATGCGGCAAAGGCAGGGTGTGATAATAGATATCAGGAAAGGCGGCTGCCAGCGTCCTGTCAATGTGACCCAAGGGTGAAGAATCGGTGACGAACCGAAGTATATGAGAGAATGGAGTTTAAGGAAAAATAAAAGAAAAGGTTGACTCGGGGCTAATGGCGATAGAATCAAGAAAAGAGAGGCCCAAGTCGCAGAGAGGAAAGAAGGATAGATGGGATAGAAACCTTAAGAGTGGAGGAATGAGATTATGTGCAGTAAAGATCGACTGGGGTGGTACTCCAGAAGTACTGTCAGGTCCCTTTTGTGTGGTCACCCAGTAAGAAAGGAACCAATGAGTGACTATGGGGGAACCTACAACCCAGCCGCGATGGTACCGATCAGTACGGTATGGGAGTTACTGTAAGAATGAGCTAATCTGAGCTCAGGTACCGCTTAAGCCCTGAGTTTCACCCGAAAGTTTAGTAATTATACTGCAATGCTGCAAACGGGGGGGAACATCATACGGTGTCCCTAAATGATTTCCTATGTATTTGGGAGCCCAATATTACGAAAATGTATATGTGGTGGATATATAGTGTCTTGTGACACATCAAATTGATAAAAGATGAGCCTCGGATACTCTCTAGCGTGATATTACCTGATATTACCTGCGTATAGACCTCGTTCTATAATTTGCTAGATTTCAATGGTCTAAATATGTATTTTATTATTGTTTTTGTCTTTCTGATATATTAAAACGTATATTAGATATGGTGAAATATTTTGCATATCGCTTAACCAAACATATAGTAACTTGTATTAAATTTCTAATAATATCCCTAGACGGCACTTCCATTTCCCCTTGAGAGGGTAAAAAAAAATACACTATCATGTGATCCGGTGTATATCAAGGTACCGTTTAGGACCCGCCCGTATTCGATAGGCAGAGCTAATTTCAAGGACTCGACAAAGTCTACAACGTTGAATTAAACATCTCAATGTGATAAAAAAGGTATAGAATTTCTCCAAATCAAACATCATGGAGGGGTCCGAAAAGCCCAAACCAATCCCGGCATACTATTGTTGTTATCTCCTCCGCTCGACCGTTCGACACGCCTCACTGTACATCGGCTCGACGCCAAACCCGATCAGACGACTCCCTCAGCACAACGGTGTCGCTAAAGGTGGGGCCAAACGAACCGCCAGAGATAAATTACGCCCCTGGGAAATGACCCTTGTCGTAGAGGGTTTCACGAGCAGAGTCGGCGCTTTGCAATTCGAGTAAGTCGCATATGAATTGTTTATATACCTCGCGTCTCAATTTCTCATTTCGCGTAGATGGGCTTGGCAACACCCGGAAAGGTCGCGGCATCTTGATTCCGAAGATGATTTGGACCCTAAGCCTCGAGCTAAGGCTAGTGCCAATTCCAATGGGAAGACGGGCAAGCCGAAACCGAAACCTAGAGCGCGGACTAGAAGATCCTTGATGGCGCATTTGGAGGATTTGCATTCCCTCCTTCGCTCGACTTATTTCTCCTCTTGGCCGTTACGAGTACGCTTCTTTTGTGCCGATGTCTACCGTGTATGGCGGGCCTGGAATGACCGTGTGGATGGTCGCTTGCCCGCCAACGTCAAAGTTATTATAGATGGAAACAACCTTGCAACGCCACCGGCTTTCAAGCAAGACGATGAGCTCGCACCCGTTGGAAGCATTAACAATCTATCAGTTGATTACACCAGGCTTGAAGATCATCTCGAAAAGTCAATGTTTGTGTTGGAAGACCCGGATGATTTGCAGTGCACGGTCTGTAAAGAGTCGATCTCTTCGGACGAACAACAAATAGTAGTGTGTGCACATCCGAATTGCCGCGGCACGAGTCATTTATTATGTCTATCTACCACATTCCTTGACGCGACCAACAAACCAGATCTCCTGGTGCCCACCCAAGGGACCTGCCCGTCGTGTGGAAACACCATACAATGGGTGGCAATGATGCGTGAGCTAAGCTTCCGCAACAGAGCAGAGAAAGAAGCGCGCGCACTTCTCAGAAAGAAAGAGAAACGTGTTCGCAACGAGTCTGCCGCCGTGGATGCATCTTCGGGGACTCGATCTTCATCTATTGGGCTAAGGTCAATGCTAGAAGAACCGACCCAAGATGACCTAGGCCCAAATTGGTTCGAGGAAGTCGATATAGAATCCGACTCTGATTTCGAGGGCCGACAGAAGGACCGCCAGACTCGACCTCCATCAAAACTCGAGATCGTGATTGAAGACAGCGACTGGGATGACGCAGAACTCATTGAATGAGACCCAAGCAGAACCAAGCCCAACCTTATTTTTAATTCACTAATTCGCAAGAGGCTCCAATTTCCTCAACGCGCCGGTCACATCCAAACGCGCAATGCAACTAGCTACAGCTCCCTGTATCTCCTGCGACACCTGATCGATGGATTTACCCGCATCGATAATGGAAACATCCTCCTGCTTCTCGAAGATCGTCCGGAAGAGCTCTCGCACACGGGTCTGCATTGCCTCGTTTTCATATCGCTCGGCGCCGAATCCACCGCGCTTTGCTGCTTCCTCTGGTGAAATGCTAAGGAACAGACAGATATCCGGACACGGCAGACCGATTTCTGGCTGCCATGCCCACTCTAGTGATAGTGTGGGGTTCGCTTTCGCGGCGGAGTAGACAACGCCAGAATATGAGTAGCGGTCTACAATGACTGTCGTTCCGTTCGTGATATCTTCTTCAATGCTTTTTGCAATCTCCCACCGGTTCGCCGAGAAAAGGAGGTGAATAGAATGGTCGTCTTGGTGCGATGTGCCGCGCAGATAGCTATCAATCAATTGCCCGATGGGTGTCGTTCTGTCTAGAGGGCATTATTAGACCAATGGCACCCATAAGGAATGTGTAACTAAGTACCTGGGAATCGAATGTATTTAACCACGTGCCCTTGCCGTGAAAGGAAGTCCCGTAGCATCTCGCATTGACTCGATTTGCCAGCGCGGTCGAGTCCTTCGACAACAATGAGAGCTCCGCGTCGCGTCGGCGACGCCGATGTGCTTGTCATAATTGACTGCAGTGCAAGGATGTGATCAGGTGTAAAGTGTTTAAGAACTGTAGATTAAGATCCTAAGTTCCGGCTGAATTTATGCAAAATAGCCCAGCAAATGTGTCTGAAGGAGGATAGTGAAGGTGATGTTTATCGGGAAACCCGATTTTTGCTGGCCGATAAGAACAAGATTCAGGCCGCCCGCAACATGGTCTTTTAATAACCACGAACGCCATGGACCACGCGACTTCCGCGTCCCCAGCGATGACCTTCAGTGTCCTGGCCTCCACTGCTCCAGTCCTTGCGCCACGAGTAGGCAAATTGGCCATTCCAGGCCGAAAGACCGTCGCGACGCCGCACCATGTCCCGCTCACTTCGCGGGGCACAGTCCCACATGTTGCGCATGATGTGATGCGTGATCACACTGAGATCAACAGCTTGTATGCTGGATTAGAAGATTGTAAGCGGAATACTGCAACATGACTACAATCGGTTCTCTTCTGGACATAACTGACAGCGCATGCTATAAAAAGTCATCGCGAAAAAGCAGGCCCCCGTTTACAAGACACCCGTCGCCGATCATGAGTCGCCATTGAAGAAATTCATTTGTGTGGCCGAGGATATGCCTTTGATCCTAGGTCCTCGGCGATTCCCTCCTATCGCATGCCCGCCCGCAAATACATCGACTTCCATTGCGCTGCTGACCTCAGTCGGATTCACCCAGTTAACTGCGAATGATTACGTGAAAGCAGTTCAAAAGCTAAGACCGGATATCGCGGTCGGGATGGTGGACCTTGCGAATAAGCAGCCAGGGTCCAAGAGGCGGGGGAAGATGGTTGACCGGACGCATGCTTGGACTCGAGATGCATTGGAGCAGCTCTATGGAGACGCTGTACCAGAGCAAGAGAAGTCAAAGAGCGCATACTTTGCACCTATCTTGCCTCTCGATAACGCGCAGCAGTCTCTCTATTTGGATGATTTGGAGAGCGAGTTCCGGTGGGATATATCCGGTCTCGCGCTATATCAGTCTGCGTCACTGGGATTCGTCCCAGAATCGTTGGCGAACCTTCCTCGATTGCTCTTCAGTGAGCCTGAGACTCCCCACACTATCCTACGAGATGTATCGCTTGGAGCAGACCTTCTGACCTCGCCTCTACAGGGCGCAGCGTCAGATGGGGGCATCGCGATGGAATTCGTCTTCCCCGCTCCTGCTGCCCTGCAAGAGGGCAAGTCCGAGCCTCGGCCTTTGGGAGTTGATCTGTGGACCGGAGACCACACCACAGATACATCTCCGCTGGGTGAGGGATGTGAATGCTATACCTGCAAGAATTACCATCGTGCTTATATTCACCATCTCCTACTTGCCAAGGAGATGACCGCTTGGGCGCTCCTCCAAGTCCACAATTTCCACGTCATGGATACATTCTTCGCAGGAGTGCGGGGGAGTATCCAACGTGGTTCTTTCGAGCAGGACGTTGAGACCTTTGCTCGTGTCTATGCCTCTTCGATGCCAGAGAGTAGTGGAAAGGGTCCCAGGTATGTCAATCCACAATGCGGTTATTTTGGCTGAAATCGCTAACGATCATCCCAGATTACGTGGATATCAACTCCCGGCCAACGGCTCTGATCAACCCCGCCGCAAGCCCAAGGCATGGGGCCTACTTGACGATGCTAAGCAGAAATTCGCTGGGACTCAGTCTGAAATCGCTACCCCGGACACCGATGCGAGCGGACTCGAGGAACACGGGTTTGCCGAAAAGTTGAGATAAAGCTCGCAGCAGTGAGGATCGACTCTGGCAAACCCTTGCATGAGAAACGGTACGTATTAATAGAAGCATTTGCTTAGCCATTAGCGTATGAAACCTATCAGTCAATTCTATAATATATATAAAAGCAGGAAGTGCACGCATAATCGTAATATTCATCTCAATGAGATAGGGTCAAGACTAGTATACATGAATCCGGATTTTGTGCCATTCATAGTTCATATGTTCAGGCTTGCCCTCATTAAACCGTCAACCGTAAGCACCCTCATTGATACAGGGTATATCTGTATCCTGATTTGTAGAAAAGCGTATTCTTAAGCCTCCTCGCCCGCCAAGACCCGCCACATCCACTTGACCTCGTTTTCCTCCTCCTTGGAGCCCTGCTTGGTACCTGCACCAAACTGCTGTCCGACAACACACACAAGCCAAGAGTCGTTCTTGGTTGTGTCTAGGTAGGTTTCGCTGGGCGATCCGCGTGGGTAGATACGACGCCATTCATCCCAGATTCGGAAAGCCTCTTCACCCCACGCACGGAAACTGACTTCCTCGATGATGGTCGGGGTGACGATTTCCTTGCCGCGGAATACACCCCAGGTAACAGCATTGACACTCTCGGGGTTGGAGCCAAGGTCATCGAGCTCTACATCGGCAGGCTGGATTGGGAGCGAGGACTCGAAATCGCCCTTGACGTTTGTTGCGAACCAGGTGAGTTTGTCGTGGCCGTGCTTAGCGAACATTGGCTTCAGGATGTTGGTGTAGTCGTTGCTTGAGCAGAAGAACTCCACAAATGGCTTCTGGAAAACGAAGCCTTCTCTTTGCGGACCCCAGCCGAAAATGGGGTGGTCATTGTGCACACCGTTCACCGCGGGCTGCGAGGCCAGTGTCCACCAGCCTCGGCCATCAATGAGCTTCAACAACTCCGGTCGAATCAGCTCAGTCTCTGCATTCAGACCGTCGCCATCCTCTTCGGCGCCACCCTCAGACCAGGGAACCATGTGCAGCTCTCCCGAGACATGGCGCCGGAAAAGCGTGCTCATGTCCTTGGAGTTCACGGGGTTGCCCCATAGCCTACGTGCCGAGCTGGCAGTGACATGAAGGGAGGGACCATAGCCGTCGATCTCACCGAAGGCAGGCGAGCGAGCATCACCCCAACGTCCGTTGGGAAAGTCATCCCATGTTGCTTCTCTGCCAAGGGCACCGAGACCCTCTGAGATGAGAAGAGTAGTGCTGCGGTTTGGCGGGGGAGCGGGCACACCTGCGCTGTCGGCGCGGGCCTCATGGACGGAGTCCTGCGAGGACTCGTGGACAGATAGCTTATCCACAATAACGCGGTTGTGGGGTTGCGAGTTGATAGAAGAAGCACGGCGTCTTCGTAGTGCACGTCCAGGAAAATCGAGGGGAATTGACGCGGGATCATCCTCGATAGCAAGGTCTCCAGCATCTGAGAACGACGGAATCAAGTCGCATTGTTCCAAAATGAATGATACTGTCTTTTCCAAGTTGAGAGTGTAGAAATGGAATCCTCGTGGGCCCGGGGAGGAAATGTCCCTTATACCACCCACAATCTCGCTAACAATATCCACACCCGCGCGCTTGACGGCATCGTCGTCATGCTTCAATTCTTCCATGCGTCTGGCAATGGGAGGTGGGATCGTGACATGGCTGAGCTTAGTCACCCGGGTCAGAATCTTATAGCTGTGGATGGGCATCAAGCCCGGAATGATGGGGATGGTCTTGAAAGCACCAGACTCATGGTTGCGAAGCGCATTCTCAAACTTCTGGTAAGCTTCGATATCGTAGGTGAGTTGGGTCATAATGAAATCAGCTCCAGCCAGTGTCTTCTCGACCAGGTAAGGAATATCTCTGACAGGATCCTGGACGTCTTGGAAGGTATCGGCAGGATGGCCCTCAGGGTATGCGGCAACACCGACACAGAAGTAGTCGCCATGTGTCTGACGAATATATCGTACCAGATCAACAGCGAAAGTGAAATCCTTGTTGCTATCATCCTCTCCGTGCGTGTTGTATTCCTCACTGCGGGGTGGATCTCCTCGTAGGGCAAGGATGTTGCGAATTCCGAGAGCCTTAGCCTCATCTAGAGCATTATCCACCAGCTTGCGGCTCATGTTCGTGCATGTCAGATGCAGGACGGTCGTCAACTGCAGTTGGCGCTGGCATACTTCCGCCAGCTCGAGCGATCGTGCCGCAGTGCTACCGCCGGCACCCCAAGTAACCGTAACAAAGAGAGGACGGAGTGCTTGTGCCATACGCTCCAGACGCGCGGACAGGTTGGCGAAACCCTGTAGTAGACCATATTAGCAAATGTTCACGATGCGTTCAGCACGCGGGGTAACCCCCACCATCCGGGTCTTTGGAGGGAAGAACTCTAAGGAAAAGTAGTTGGCATCTGGTGGCAGCGCCGCGATCTTCTCGGTGATCTTCTTCTCCATTGCGTCCTTTGAGTGTATGGGTCGACAATGGGAGGGGTTGGATGAAGAAGAGAGGTTTCGGGCAAAAGTGGACCATGTATGTCACCATTTGCACCAGTCGTATCGGGAACGATGATGTCTACAGCTGCCGATTTTAGTGGCCATCGCGCATTAAAGGTCTGCTGCAAATACTCTCTGTGGATCTAAATTTTTAAATACTGTTTCTATGCAAGGAGTGACTCTATCTTCTTCCCGTAGAGTTAGAGTCAAAAAAAAAGTGGCAGCGCTATAGATGACTCAGCGAGATAATTGCCATTTCTCAGATCGGATCGATGAGCTTAGCGGGAGCACTTGTCTTGTACGCACTCCTGTATATTGGCCCATGGAAGACAACTCTCTTTTTTGAACACATATAATCTCTTCTCTCAACCCCTTCGAATAAGCCAGTCTCTCCACAACAGCATGGCGTCCCGACCACCCAACCTTCTCCGCTATCTCCGTCTGCAAACAGCTCGAAATACTAGATCGCATGCGTCGCGACGAACTATCTCCACTCCCTCTCCCCCGCCGCCACTGAAAGCGTCACGGCCTATCCCTAATGACTCTCGCTCTCGCCTGCGCCAGTTCAATGACCGCCTCCCTCGGTTTCTCCGCACATACACTACACCCTTATTTGGTGCGCCGGTCACCCATATCACATCATTCCTAATACTTCACGAAATCACCGCTATTCTTCCCCTATTCGGGCTGGTTGGCGCATTTCACTATGGTACCTGGATGCCGAACCTTGTATCGCAGACAGGCGAAACCAATGCCTTCGACGAGGGAGCTGCGCGTTTCGGCCGCTGGCTGAAAAAGAAAGGTTGGGTAGATGAGGCGGACGTGAATACTGTTGCGGAGCATGAAATCACCGCAGAGAAGCCAGTGGATCGAGCAGGAGTTCGATTGGTGCTGGAATTTGCTACGGCCTATGCAATCACGAAAGCTTTATTGCCAGTCCGGTTGGCAGCGAGTGTTTGGGCGACACCGTGGTTTGCAAGGTCGGTCTTTACACCGACAGCAAACCTAGCCAGGCGGCTCTTCCGCAGAGGATAAGTTAGTCGAGCATTACTGTAATACCGGAGAGAACTATATTCATAAATAATATGAATTTGTATATTGTGTATTTTCCCAAGCCATTGGGCTTCTTCCTCAGAACCGCTGCTTTATTCTATGCTAGAAGTATCCGAACAAGAAATCCATCCGACCAGTCTAGTTATAGACGAGGAATTTACTCGTAAACCCAAGCGGACTGGGCGGAGGTGTACTTGAGGACCTCAGAGGCACCGAACCAGAGAGCAATCTCCTTCTTGGCGTTCTCGACGGAGTCGGAACCGTGGCAGACGTTGCGGCCGACATCCTATTGTTTGTCAGTATGAAAAGAAAAAAAAAAAAAAAAGCCATAATAGAATGCATCGGGGTCTCTTACGATGGCGTAGTCACCACGGATGGTACCGGGGGCGGAAGCCAAGGGGTTGGTGGCACCGAGGAGGACACGGCCGGTCTTGACAGCGTCCTTACCCTCCCAGACCATAGCGCAGATGGGGCCGCTCAGCATGTCTAGAGCTGTGTTAGTGTATTGCGATTTGCGGAACGGTTCGGGAGAGTCAACTAACAGGCGACGAGACCCTTGAAGAAGGGCTTGGTAGCGAGGTCAGCGTAGTGCTTCTCGAGGTGGTCCTGGCTAGGGGAGGTGAGCTTCATGGCAACGAGCTTGAAGCCACGGTTCTCGAAGCGAGAGATGATGGGGCCAATGAGTCCACGCTGGTTCACATTGTCAGTAAAAGTCGTTCAATTGCGAAACTCTTCCAAGTCCGTGATGGATTCGGATCGAATGGTGCTGTGCCCGTACCTGGACACCATCGGGCTTGATGGCAATGAAACTAGAGCATTTAGTTAGCTTGACCGGCATTGAGGGGTAACGGGAATCGAAAGGGAAACGGGACTGGGGGAAGATTGATTGTGACATACGTCTGTTCCTCGTTGGCGGACATTTTGAATGTATGAGAATAATAATTCAGGTATGAAGTAGGAAAAGAGAGCAGGAAGAGGGGAGGATTAAATAGAGGCCTTTTAAAAATTTCGGGCCTTCCCACTTGGGCCGATGATTGGTGGCCACAAGGAGGGGTTTGATGCCAGAATGCTAAGGCCAAAAGCGGTGGACCTTATCGTTGAATAGTTGTATACAACTCTTTTGCTTCGCTCTTTTGCTTTGCTCTTTTGCTTTTCAAATACAACGATAGAAATAGCTATCACCTTAAAAATAACAGCTCAATGAAAATAAGAGCACCCATCTCCATACCAAGGTCTCTAACATGTGGGAGAACAATTCGCATCTAGCCCGGTCCCCTGTCGTTGCCCCTGAAGTTCAGCTGCAGAACAATGTGCACTCTAATCTCTCATACTGGCTCCTGATTTCTATTTTTGGATACTCGATGCTCCGCTGCAGTTCAGGGAATGAGACTGTATCCACTATACTACTAGAGGTACTATCCTGTGCACATAAATAGATCGGGAGTTGAAGTTTAATAAGAAAACTGGGAGTACTTCTGTCAGTTCTTATAGGATACACTGAAATGCGGCCCCGAAGGTGACCCAGCCACTTGCAAGCTTTTGAATGCTCAGTGGCTGCTAGAAGGGATGGCTATTTGCGACCTACTGTGCAAACAGCAGGTTGTTAGGCCAGAGGCTAAGGGAAGATATAGACCGATACTTGGTGACTATTATAAGTCAAGATCCTTGATCCGTGATTATGTTAAAATATAGAAGCAGTACCTACGGAAGTACAGATGTTGTACGTCTGTACAAAGTACTGAGTACGTAAGTAAGGGTAGGGTTTCATATGGTGGACACTGATTGGCTCAAAAGCAAAGCAAGTTAATTGGGAGCTACTGTGGTGCCTTGTTGCCTTAGGTGTCTTACCCCAGCTCAGGCCAGCTTGTAGCTTCTGTTGATGGCATCTCCACCTCTAAATGCAGGTCACTCCGTGATAACCTACGCCATTCTGTCGGAGATTGAGGGTCTCTGATTGATCATATTATTTATTTCACCATGGCCAGGAGTCTACCTGCGCCCCGTTGGGCAATGTTGCTCTCCTTGCTTATCCTCCTCGGATGCATTGTCGTACCCGGTTGTAAGGCTGCCTTTTGCTAAAACGCAAGGTCACAAAACACTAACTGTCATGGCACGAACAGTGGCGGTGAAACACAAGGATTTCAAAACTTGCGAGCAGTCCGGATTCTGCAAACGAAACCGTGCCTACGCCGATAACGCCTCCTCCCAAGGCATTTCATGGAGCTCACCCTACGAGCTCGACCCGGCCACCATACATTTCACAGATGGCGTCCTTACTGGAGTCATTTACAAAACCACAACTGCTAATGAGAAGGTCCGGCTACCTCTCACAGTGTCTTTCTTGGAATCGGGAGCTGCCCGTATTGTGGTGGATGAAGAGAAGCGGATGAAGGGCGACATTGCAATGCGACATGGCAGCCAAGCGAACAAGAAGCGATATGATGAGACTGAGAAATGGGCTATCGTGGGTGGTTTGGAAGTCAGCAAGTCGGCCACGTTGAACGCTCAAACCGAAACTGGATTCACCAACATTCTATACGGCCCAGGCGACAAATTCCAGGCAATCGTTCGCCACGCGCCATTCGGAGTTGAATTTCAGCGGGACGGAGAGACTCATGTTCAATTGAACCACCAAGGTTTCTTGAACATGGAGCACTGGCGACCGAAGGTAGACGACAAAGACGGCGAATCCGGCGAGGACGAGAGCACCTGGTGGGAGGAGACGTTTGGAGGAAATACCGACTCAAAGCCGCGTGGTCCCGAGAGCGTCGCTCTTGATATCACCTTCCCCGGTTATAATCATGTATTTGGTATCCCAGAGCACGCAGATTCGCTCTCGCTCAAAGAGACCAGAGGTGGATCTGGCAACCATGAGAACCCTTACCGTCTGTACAACTCGGATGTCTTCGAGTATGAACTCGAAAGCCCGATGACCTTGTACGGAGCTATTCCGCTGATGCAAGCCCACCGCAAGAACTCCACTGTCGGGGTCTTCTGGCTTAATGCAGCGGAAACGTGGATCGATATTGTCAAGTCAACTGCGTCCTCTAACCCCCTTGCCTTGGGCGCCCGCCCCAAAACAGATACACAGACTCATTGGATCTCCGAATCTGGTCAGATTGACCTGTTCGTCTTCCTGGGCCCCTCGCCGAATGATATCAGTAAGACATATGGTGAACTCACAGGATATACACAATTGCCCCAACAGTTTGCAATTGGATATCATCAATGCCGTTGGAATTATGTTACGGACGAGGATGTCAAAGAAGTCAACGCCAAGTTCGACAAGTACCAGATTCCATACGATGTGATTTGGCTTGATCTTGAATATACCGATGACCGGAAATACTTCACCTGGGACTCCCTCACCTTCCCCGATCCTAAAGGTATGCAGCAAAAGCTCGATGAAACCGAGCGAAAGCTTGTGGTCTTGATTGATCCGCACATAAAAAATGCGGACAAGTACTTTGTTTCCGAGGAGCTTAGAAGCAAAAAGCTTGCGGTGCTGAATAAGGATGGCGAGATTTACGATGGATGGTGCTGGCCAGGTTCCTCGAACTGGGTCGACTGCTTCAACCCCGCCGCACAGGCCTGGTGGGCGACGCTGCACAAGTTCGACAAATTCAAGGGATCGCTTCAGAATCTTTTCATCTGGAATGATATGAATGAACCATCTGTTTTCAACGGGCCTGACATGACCATGCCTAAGGACAACTTGCACTACGGAAACTGGGAACATCGCGATATTCACAATGTTAATGGTCTGACCCTTTTAGACGCCACCTACAAAGCAATGCTGGAGCGCAAGAAGGGCGAGGTGCGCCGGCCATTTATCTTGACGCGCTCGTACTACTCTGGGGCCCAGCGTGTGTCAGCTATGTGGACTGGAGATAACCAGGCCACCTGGGAGCACCTCGGGGCTTCTCTCCCCATGGTCCTGACCAACGGTATCGCTGGCTTCCCCTTTGCCGGCGCAGATGTCGGAGGATTCTTCCACAACCCCGACAAGGACCTTTTGACCCGGTGGTACCAGACAGGTATCTGGTATCCCTTCTTCCGCGCACATGCTCACATCGATACTCGTCGTCGTGAGCCGTACCTGATCAGCGAACCGCAACGGTCGTACATCGCTCAGGCAATCCGCCTGAGGTACCAACTTATGCCTGCTTGGTACACTGCCTTCCATGAAGCCTCAGTTAATGGTACGCCCATTGTGCGACCTCAGTACTATATGTTCCCAGAGGACGAACAAGGCTTTGCCACCGATGATCAGCTTTATCTTGGTTCCACGGGTCTTCTCGTGAAGCCTGTTGTGCAGCAGAACACTTACACGGCGGATGTGTATATCTCCGACGACGAGAAGTACTATGACTACTTCGATTTCACTGTCTACCAGGGCGCGGGCAAGAAACACACCGTCCCTGCACCGGAGGAGAAGGTGCCTGTGTTGATCCAGGGTGGCCACATCATCCCCCGCAAGGACCGTCCCCGTCGCAGCACCGGTCTTATGCGGTGGGACCCGTATACACTGGTCGTTACCCTAGACAAAAATAGCGAGGCGGAGGGCACTCTGTATGTGGATGACGGCGAGACATTCGACTACGAGCGTGGCGCCTACATCCACCGCCGCTTCAACTACCGCGAGTCGGTGTTGTCGTCGGAGGACATTGGAACCAAGGGACCCAAGACTGCTGAGTACCTCAAGACTATGGCTGGCGTGACAGTCGAGCGAGTGGTGATTGTTGACCCTCCTGCCGAATGGAAGACTAAGAACAGTGTGACTGTCATTGAAGATGGAGCCAAGTCGGCCTCTACTGCCTCGTTGGCGTTCTACGAGCAGGAGGGCAGCAAGGCGTCATATGTTGTAGTGAAGAATCCGAATGTCAGCATTGGGAAGGCATGGCGGATTGAGTTCTAGGAGCGATATGTTTCGCTTCTCGCGCAACACATGTATGCAATATTCACATTATTAGAAGTTGATAGGCCTACATATCAGAAACAGCTCTTTTGGTTCGTATAAAATTGTTTTGTAGGGACAGGAAGCAGCCCCTTCACAAAATCTAACGCTATCGTATCGGTGATTGCCTTTTTGATTACATAGGAATATTGAAAAGTCGGCCCCTATGCAGCGGTATAGGCCCTTTTTCGGGTGGTGTTGATGGCTGAGTTACGACAGGCTGAAAAATGAAGATACTTGGATTATTATTATAGAGGCCTTCATAAATAAGGTACCCTGGTTCTGTCAACTGATCATCTCCAGTAAGTATCAATGCTATTTACAATCCAGTCATCAATAATATCCAAAAAGGGGGTTTTGTCCCATGGCACCTATACCGCTGCGTAGCCCCGGGCACCTAGTTATTCTCTTTCATCCTCCAATCTGTTCGTGAAGATATGCCGGCCTGAGAATGCAGCACGCAGCGCCTTTATGGCCTCAACCTTCTATGCAAGCGAGTCAACACCGCCCTTAGGATCAAATAAAGTTTTGACCTCATTTGCCGACACACTTCTTGGCCTCCTTCCCAACCCCGCCTGGATTTGGCGCTGCGTTATATTTCTTGTCTGGCTGGAGATTGGGGTATTCTCTAGATTCTCACACATCTACTGAGCGAGTTGCCCACTAAGAGACCGGTCAGCCTGTGATGGAAATGAGACATGTGAATTCAACGGGGGAAGACTAGAAGTGGTGTGTTGTTCAATTCCATCGAGTTAGTTTAGAGTTTGTGTGATGCTTTTTTGTCGTACACCACGATGCTTTTGATCTTCCAAGGTTTCTAGCAGCTTTTCCGAAGTCGGCTAGACGAGTCAAGTCAGGATGAGCATCCTAAGCCGTGCGTGAAATCCATGGTGTTGATGATACTGCGGCTCATGCACAACCACATTCCCCACCAATAGACTGCCATGAACTTGCAGAGGCCGGATATAAATCTCTTCTACTGCGGCGGAAATGAGAGCGGTTTCCCGTGTGTCCAAACAAGGTCTGAGCGGACAGTACCGGAGAAAGGTCCGGAGAAGTACCTGGATAAAGCCTCGGAGAAAGGCCGGGATCAAAGCCCGGAGAAAGGTCCATCATTGCTCTGTTGGGGAAAATATACACCCCGCATGGCCACCCACGGTGGGTAGTCCGTGCTTCCCGTAGTAGGTTGGGTTCTGACTGGATGCCCATCAACAAGCTTACCTTGGCACAGACCAATTACCGGTCACCCCAAATAGATCGTCCGGCATAATTTTGGAAATCACTGGATCACAGTCCTTCAATGGCCAATTTTCCCCGCATTTCTTGGCTGTTGGAACGTAGTCGCCAAGACTGGGGTAAACGATGAAAGCTGAAATCATTCCACCAATCTATGGAGGATAGCCGACGTGATGTACCTAGGTATATAGCATATATAACCTTCCGTTGGGCCGACTTGCTTGTGCTGATCTTCCGAGACTATATATCTACAGGAACATCTCTTGACATTGGTCTATTTGAAGTAGCCAAAGGTCGTGTACACTTATAATCCGCAGCTATGAACCGCGGTTCTATCGGAAAGGACGATGTCGAGATTGTCGATCAAAGTTCCCATGTCGAACACATTCTCAAGCCTTCTCTAGTCACTCAGGTTGGCGACTTTCGTGTCGTCGGTTTGACTGCCGATGATGCAGATTTCTATAATAACTATCCGGAGGAGAAACGGAAAAAGGTCTTCCATAAAGTGAGAATACACAACACTCCTATCCAGGCATGTAATACCCGGCTAACACTCCATATAGGTCGATAAGCGTTTAATCCCCATGCTCGCAGTGCTGTACTTGATTTGCCATATCGATCGTGCGAATATCGGCAATGCTAAAATTGAAGGCATGGTCCAAGATCTCAATATGACGGGATTGCAGTATAATACTGTTCTTTCCATATGTGAGTTCATTTGCTGCGGCGCACACTCGGCCGGCTTGTTATCTCTTGGCTGTGGGCCCAAGGTGTACTGACCCGTGATATATACATGCAGTCTTCATTCCCTACGTCCTGTTTGAAGTTCCCAGTAACATTATTCTCAAGAAGTTCAAGCGCCCTTCAATGTACCTTGGCCTTCTTGTCTTGGCTTGGGGCATTGTCATGACATGTACAGGTCTGGTTCAAAATTTTGCTGGCCTGATGACCACTCGAGTTCTACTCGGTATTTTTGAGTGAGTGACACCACGCAACCACATTTTACTTTTCACCTAATACTTTGTTTTATAGGGCTGGATTCTTCCCCGGTGCTATTTACCTCTGCTCCTACTGGTACATGCCTAAGGAATTGGCACTTCGTATCTCATACTTCTACTGTGCCAGTGCGCTTTCCGGCGCCTTCTCCGGCCTATTGGCTGCCGCTATTGCTAAGATGGACGGTACTGCTGGGCTTGAGGGATGGCGGTGGATCTTCATTCTTGAAGGCCTTGCTAGTGTGGTACTAGGTCTTGCCTGTTTCTTCCTCCTCATCGACACCCCGGCTTTATCCAAGCGCTGGTTATCCCCCGATGAAATTCGCTACCTAGAACTTTCAATGTTCATCAAGCAAGGAGGAGCTAGTAGCGGGGAGGGGGGATTCAAGTGGAGAGACCTCAAGGTGGTCCTGATGAACTGGAGGATATATGTGCAAGGCTACCTTTTGTTTTGCCAGTCGGCTTTGTCTTACGGTAACAACTCTTCAAATCCTACCTAACAAATTGTGCTAATATATTTTGCATGCAGGTACTAAATTCACCCTCCCGACTATCACTAAAGCTATGGGGTTCAGCTCCACAAATGCCCAACTCACCTCTGCCCCTCCATACATTGCCGGCGCGATATCTGCTATCATTTTTGCGCGGTTCTCCGATCGCTTCTATTGGCGAATGCCATTTGTCTGCATCCCCATGATAATCGTCGTGGTAGCTTATTCTATCATCATGTCTCTCAATGGAGCCCTCGAAGAAAAGAAGGGAGTGGCTTACTTCGCGGTCGTCTTGTCTGTCATCGGTATTTACCCCATCCAGCCCGGAGCTGCATCTTGGAATGCAAACAATATTGCCCCAGCGTCCCGACGGGCTATGGGCATTGCACTGGTGAACTGTGTCGGCAATGTTGGTGGCATACTGGGCAGCTTCATGTATATTGAGAAAGAGAGCCCGAAGTACACAACTGGATTCGGCCTCAGTTTGGCACTCGGTGGGGTTGGATTCTTTGTTGCTTTGTTCCTCGAATGGACTTACAAGCTGGGTAATGCGAAGAAGGACAGAATTGCTGATGATGCTAGGGTTAATTACACAGAGGAACAGCTGTTCGATATGGGAGACAAGTCTCCGCTGTTCAAATATGTTCTGTAAATACTTTGTGGGAACGAATTTACGATGACATTTTTGATATTACGATAGACTCCTGATGTCTTCGGTCACAGGTTGAACTTCATGAGCCAGGCCATATCAGATGGGGCTGTTTGTCGATTTCACTTTCCTGTTTGGGTTCCTTCCGTTTTATTTCTGCTTCTTCATCCCCAATCACATCAGCACTTTACCTTTCTCAATATCAACCCACTTAAAGATTCCATTCAGAATCACACCCACCCGCCCACCGCAACCATGACCAAAGATGCACCAGCAACCCCAGCCGAGTCTTACCTGACTGAGGCTGCCCCGACGAGTCCTTATTATGGGATGCGTGGTCACTACTGGAAGTCAAACAGGGACGTACCGCCCACCAAATGGCTGTAAGCATAGCTTTGAATCATACTGTTGAATATGGCTAACTGGTTCCATCAGTAAGGAGAAAAAGAAGCTCTGCGCTTGTGATGACCACCAGGCAAGCCAATGGCCGATGAATCACGCAGTCATTGTGAGTGGAAACACTCAAATTTTAAATTCCAAGCCGATACTAATCCTCGTTTTCCTTAGACGATTCCTCCTTGCGCCTACAAGTGTCCCTACTGCCCAAAGTTCGATAACCTTGAGACTGCCAACCCTCAGGTAGTGAAGCTCCGTGCTCATATCAAACGTGACCATCTGGTGAGACTATGAGTTGTGCACAACTTGCAGCATACTGAGATCTATTAGAAGAAAAACCCGAATGACTTCCTTGGGCTCTCTGTTACCCCGGGTAGAGTGACGAAACCCCGCGCGCCGTGAGTTACCCTTGCTCAACTTGAAATGCCTGCTTCTAATCGCCTGAATTTTTCTAGTAAGCCATGACCATGATAAGCTCCGGTGGGCTGTGTTCCATTCATTTTCTGGACTATTGATTCTTAACATGAAATCCCCCATACCAAGAAGAGACTTTGTACACAGAACCAAACTCCGAGATCAGAATTTACTTTTGCTTTTCCACTCCCGCTTTTGCTTCTCTTCTCTTCAAGCTTAGATTCTCGAAGAAGAAACGTAAACCTGGCCTACAATCCCCTCCTCAGCGTCGTGGGCTTGCAACGAAAGCTTCCCGTCGACAACTTGCCATATCACATCATTTATCATAATCTCGCTGGTACCCTCTTCATACCAGTTGGACATATCCTTTTCTTGATCAAAAAAGTCTTCATACTCGCGTCTGAAAAGAGCCAGAGCAGCCTTGTTGGCCTCCTCGAGGGTGTCAAATCTGTGCTGCCTTCGGCTATTACCATCCTCAGACTCCACCTCCTCGTCCTCTGAGTCTATCTCCTCAAACGCGGATAGATCTTCGGCTTCACTGTGTATGACATGAAAGACGTATTTGACGTTGGAATCGCGTGAGGGACTGTGCTCGGCCGCGTTGACTCTGTCTAGCAGGTTTTGTGGGAAATCTGGGACTGAGCGCATCTTTGCAGATTGTTTGGTAATTTAATTGGGTTATTTGGCTGGCCTTTTTGCTGGAGATCGGAATTTAAGTCTTTTAGAGAGTTGGCGTAGAATGTAGGAGTTGTTTATCGAAGAGGGGCAAAATTTCGCGTTTTCGCGTTTGAGGTTCGGTCCCCACTCGGTTTGATATCAACTGCCCCTCTTGTCTCTTAAAGGTGGCATTCTTGTGCAACTCTTGCCCCATACCCTACCAGGAATCGAAATTCAGTAGCTTGTATATTCACGCGTCTGCACCATACTAGATCAACATTCAATCAGACGAAAGCTGCCATCCTGTTGCAGAGCGGGATTGATGACTGTGACAGTTCTTGTCTTCCCGCTTGTGCCGTTTTGGGTGGATAAGCCTTCACATTTGGGTTGGCTCTGTTTTCTAATAAGAGTTCAGCCGTGCTGTTTGGAGATGGAGAGAATTTGAGCGCCCCAAACAGCTTAATCGATTTTCCTTCTAATAACGTATCCGGTAAGCGAGCGGCGCACGCAAGCGAGTGGCGCACCCCAGAACACATAGTAAAAGCGATAAATTACAACATGATATTTCAACAACCAACACTTTTATTTAATTTCATTACTTGTCGATAGCAATTGATAAGTATTTTTAGCATCATATATCAATTTTGAATAAATTGAGAACTTGCATTGTTATGGTATTGAAAAATACATCTCTGAACTCGAGAAATATGTATCTCTCAGTCACTAATTTATCAAGTTCACCTAAACTCTAACAAGTGGCTAGACATCATATAAAAAGCATGAGGCTACAAAGAAAAGCTCATATAAACAACCGTTGTTGAAATATCATGTTGTAATTTATCGCTTTTACTATGTGTTCTGGGGTGCGCCACTCGCTTGCGTGCGCCGCTCGCTTACCGAATACGTTAAGACACTTGATTATATAACGGATGATCCCTTCCAAGCAGGCAACCGCCAGATAGCCCAGAGACGACATCGACGAAAACTCCGAACTCATTTACATTTAGGCTTTAGTGATATATGGAACAAGGGCCGACCGATATGCCTTGTCTTAAAGAGTCAAGCAGTAATATGCATGCCGCCATAGCCCGACATGGAGAGGCGCCTATCTATAAATAAAAACCGTTATGTATCATATCCATGGTTTACATTTCACAACTAAAGCCATTGAAAATTTCTGTGGAGATCAGAGAGTAACGTATATGATAAGCGAGTGAAACACTTAATCATGTCTTCTCATAACAACCCTCGCAAATTCAATCACAACACCAGGAGATCATGTCGAATTGAGAGGGCGGTATTTTACCACTAAGGACAGAGTTATTCAATGAAATATGGTAAAATATTCGTTAAATCTAGCTTCGAGTTCTTGCTTCAGTTGGATGAAGCGCCTGCATAGTCATACGCAACTAGTTAGACTGCAACAGGTTAATTGAACTTTGATTGATTGATTGATTGATTGAACTTCTTTTGGGCCCCGCTGAGCGGGGACCCGCATTGTTCCATGCACCGAACACCGAGACAGGGAAAACCGAATTCTGACTTGCCGAACACCGAACCCAGAGAGATTGAAATAATTGTAGGCTGAAGATTCTGCTATTCCAATGGAGGGAGAATACAGTGTCAGATACGGAAAGTAAAATGCAAGACTGTAGATGTAGATCTTTTGTATGAGCCGACCTAGTTCACATAGGATCTTCGGTCTAACAGCCGCATTGTTTAAACTCTCTTTATGAACCGCGGGTATATAAAGCCCAGGATATGAGACTTCACCGCAAATCCGTTCGAAGTCCGATTTGGAAGAAGAGGTCAGTTCCCTAACTATGGCCGCATATGCTCATCGATATGAGTGATGCTGAATCTCTCGAATATGGCAACGACAGCGATTGCGAGGAATGGTTGGTTATGCTTACGTGCGTCAATTTACAAGTGTTCTAATTCGACCTCGCAGCACTCACATGACAAACGATGCGACCTATACAATGTTTTATTTGGCTCGTCCTGCTCCAGCAAAGACCAGCCAAAAGCTTCACCTTCGGCCAAAGCTCATGATACAAGTCCAACGGGTCAGCTATAACGCTCATGCCATGCCTGTCTTGGAACTCTGGCGTCCGGGGGTCTTCAATTACGCAATTGCCAAAAATTCTATCCCGGAAGCCCACCTACGTATGGACGATATCTATGTCTACAAGTGTGCGGATTATCTATTGCTTGACTTAGATATTGTAGGCCACGAACGTCATGTGCTAGCCGTTATTCGAAAATGCAAATCAAGACACAAGGGAAACGGTAGCATAATCAAGTTCCGAGGGGATCATTTGGTGACGGTCCGTAGGTCAATTGAAGGCCATTATCAATGTACTTGGGAAGACGCCAAAAAAGGTCTCATAAAGATAAAGGCATGCATTCCCGATAGGGATGAAAGCGAAGGGTCTTGTCCTGTAATATCAGACTCCACTGGAGAGGAGATAACACTGGGTCGTGTGGAAGGCAGGGTTATCTCATTATACCAACAGAAGGATTGTCAAGCAAGCGAAGATGGTTTACATTCCTCGTTAGCTGTTGCTATTCTTCATGTATTTACAGCATTGGTTTATATGGATAGGGCGGATGCTTGGTAGATTCACTAAGTCCGTCTACATGTCAGAAAATCCTCATGGTTTCACCAGTTTCATCAATTTAACCAATTATTTCAGCCAATTCTCCGCGTCGACTTCAGAATAACTGGGAAGAATTATTGCGAACCAAAGAAGATTGAATTGCTCTTATTTAAGAGTGGTACACATCGTATTAAGGCGTAAGATAGTTACTATGGCCGTTAAGAATTAATAGCCGATATCTACCTCGTATACGCGGATTTATTGATAGAATAACTAGTTATTATAGGTAGCGAAGACTATTCTTATCAGTAGTCTAGCTATTCGGTGATACTTCGAATCGGTAGTCTATTAGAAGGTTATCGAACTAAGATTCGATAAAGTTTTTGCCTTTAAATATAATAGATAGCGGTAGCGAAGAGCTATCAGCGTAGATTGCTTCGATTATAGTAACCTATTCGCGAATTCCTAGTTGTAAAATTAATCGCCTACCGTAGTATTTAGCTCGGGTAACCACCTTCTACGCTACATCGAGAACAAACCCGAACGCCGAGATCTTCGGAACCGGGAACTACGCTGGTCTGCATGGACGATCGGTGTTCCGGTGATTTCGTATCAAAGATACGTTTCGGAACAGACTCATCTGAGGCGGGGCTCAAGCGTTTTCGGATCGAGACGGGATTTTGCCTAGGATGTAACTAGTTTGGGCCAGCATGAACGTCCTGAATAGGTCCTATCCGGCTGCCGAATGCGGCGTGGGTGGAACGTGTGTTACTGGCGCTGACTGATCGACCTCAATCTTCGAGGCTCGAGTCATGGGGACAAAGCTCGGGTTGCAGGGATCCCCGACTCCTGCCTATCTTAGCCGTTCGTAATACCAAGCTACAAGCTACGGTGCCCCTAATCTGTCGCCCCACTTGGTACCGCTGCCGAAAATCCGCCGTAAACAACGGCATCCAGCTTACATTTGGTGACTCGAATGACCGCTTCTGGCCGGGCCCTTGGTGCCACCCCTTCTTGTTCCAGTGCGTCTTTATAGTGACTCTATTTCGCTTATCTTATAACTGATACCCGTTAAGTTTCAGGACTTCCGTTGACCGGGATGCCTATTGCTCCAGTCGTTCGCGGAGAGGAGTCACCTTGGACGAAATGATACTAACCAGCTGCTGTATTGCCCGGAGCTTGCCCGAGAGCATGAACAGAATCGCGTGCATAAGCCACGTTACCAATCATCGAACTATGTAGCCAAACCAAGTGAATCTTAAACACTGTCTTACGTGCGGCTTCAAGTAGCAATGTAACTTAGCCCAATGTGACATATGGAGGACTGAACTCCTTGATATTGTAAAAAATGCTAAATTGTCATGCGAGCCAGTAAATTTATACTTCGTTATCTGTTACTCGTTCCGCGCCTGCTCCGTCATTTCAACTCGGGGGTAACCTTTCGCGCTATTGTCGCTCCCTCGGGAGTAGTTAGTGTCTCGGTCTTTGTCATATGCCAAGACTCGGACTTCGGGACCCGAGATATCAACTGGGGGCGGAAGCGCAATGATACCACCGAGTATTCCCTGGCCCACATATGCAGGGTCATGACAAATGAGCTACGAGAAGAGTGAGTTGTGGGTCAGGATTTGGGTGACATACATATAAATCTTACATGTTGCAGGATAAAAAGCAATATATTCTTCCTTTCTTAACATATACTCATCTACGGAGCCAACATTGTCAACCAAGAATTTGCAATTGGATGACAGAATGTATCTTCCATTTTTCATTTCGATTATTTCCTTCGTTGTCGCGTCCGTAACGAGTACGAGAGACGTCGATGTTGTTATCGTTGGTGGCGGTTTGTCAGGCCTATCCGCAGCAAAGGATATTGCAAGAGCAGGCAAGACCTTTGCTATATTCGAAGCTCGCGATCGTGTAGGTGGCCGTGTGCTCAACGCGCATATCTCCAATGGAGAGATCCAGGAAGTAGGCGCGGAATTCGTCGGGCCAACCCAGGACCGGGTGCTCGCTCTCGCTGCTGAACTTGGCCTGCCGACATACTCGACATACACGACTGGAAAATCGATACTGTACCGAAACGGCACTGTTACTCCTTACGACGCAGACCTTGGCACGGGCGGCCTACCCCCGGTGGACTCGGAATCCCAGGCAGAGCTCGCTAGTCTCGTGACAGAACTCGACAGGTTGGCTAGTGAGCTGGACGTCAATGCGCCCTGGAGACATCCCAACGCCCAGACGTGGGATAGTATGACCCTGAGGTCCTTTGCCGAATCCCGGATTAGTCTACAAGATTCACTGTTTCTCTTCGAGACCGCCATTCGATCTATCCTTTCCACCGAGGTCGAAGAGCCATCTCTCTTGTACATGCTGTCGTACATCGCCGCCGCAGGTAACCAAACAAACACCGGAACCATGAATCGTCTTGTTGGTACCAAGGAAGCCGCTCAGGATAGCCGAATTAATGGCGGCACTCAACTGTTGGCGACGAGGCTGGCAGAGAACCTTGGGCCAGCAAACATCTTCTTGAACTCGCCAGTGCGGGAGATTAAGCTCAAACATGACCGATACATTGTCATGTCCAATAGGGTGCAAGTATCAGCCAAACACGTTGTCGTCGCCATGTCTCCTCCGATGGCGGGGCGGATTTCTTATGATCCACTACTACCAGCGGGTCGGGATCAGCTTTCTCAGCGAATGCCTATGGGTTCTATTGGCAAGGCTATTGCGATCTATCCTAATGCCTGGTGGAGGAATCTAGGGTTCAATGGACAGGTGCAAAGTGATACAGGTGTCATCCGAGCGACATATGATAACACTCCTGCTAGCGAGAGCTTCGGTGCTATCATGGGTTTTATCGAAGCCGATGAGATGCGAGCCCTTGACAGCCTCTCGCAAGCAGAAATCAAAAAGCATGTTACAGAGGACCTCGTGAAGTTTTTCGGACCCCAAGCGGCCAATGTCAGCCAGATACTCATACAACGGTGGGATCTCGAGGAATTTTCACGTGGCGGGCCTGTTGCCTATTGTCCCCCAGGGGTCCTTACTAAGTACGGACCTTTCTTACGGGATCCTGCCGCCAAAATACATTTTGCTGGCACTGAATCTTCTCCGTACTGGACTGGATATATGGATGGCGCCATCCGCTCTGGTGAGCGAGCTGCGGCAGAGATTGTAGCGGATTTTTAATTTTCGAGTCTGTCATACTTCTCCAAATGACTAGGTCGCAAGGCAAGTTGGACCTACCAGTCGTCTAGCGAGCATGCAAGGATCTAGGGAAGTGTTTCAGAAATGATTGTACTTAGAGCAGGTGACCAAGGATTATTGGTCCCTTAGTAAGTATACCTCGACATGGTCCGGTTCGAGTCTAGAGCTCGGAACCTAGAGTCGGATCACGGTTCTGAGGTTCCAACTTTTACAACCGGGACCGGACCAAGAATCCTGGAGTGCATAATTTTGCCAAGAAATTTCCTATTTTAGCTGAATATTTCCCTTAGTATCTATGTGTCATATCCACTCGTCACGCATTAGAGGGTAGTATGTCGTTTCACGTCCCAGCCGCAATCACATCACCAAGTCGCTCTGTAGCGACTGCTTCGCTACGTAGAAGCCACGCAATCTCATCATCGTATTACCTATCGCAGTGGGCAGCTGATCCGGTATATGGACGTCGCTCTGTCGTCGCTGATGGTGCATACTCGACGCCTGGCTATGTATTCGAGCTTGCAGGTTGTCCAAGAGACAGGGGGGGAGTGGCCATGTCTACAACTCATGCCGAATACATTGGACAGTACCATGCCATTCTTCATCTGCAATGGCTTCGCACCTTTCTGGCCGAAACGCAACTATGTCAGTCTCCGGTCACCAACATCATGGCTGACAACCAGGCAAATCTAGCTGCTGAATTAGCTGTAGGCCCTCTTCGACCGTTAGGCCACTATCGCAGGGTATATGCCTAGTTGACCGGTTGCGCTTCTTCACCACCTTCTCATGCGACGTGCATAGGTGTGCTCAGATCTACTCAGTGAGGGAAAAGCGGCAAAATCGGCACCAAAACGAAAAGGGAGCGCCAATATGTATGTAGTTCCGCTCATACCTTAGTTGATATTCCAACATAAACATCCTCCACCATAATATTTAACTAATCTAAACCGACTAGCCAAACGCGGCAGGAGCCGCAAAAACCATGGTTAATCAAAACGAAACCTATAGCTATATTGGCGGTTTTTGAGCTTTGCCTGGAGCAGCCTAGAAATGTTGGAAGACCCGAAGAATGACCAATATTTAGACAGACTCCTAGGTCAAATATCTTAAGGTCCCACGAAAGATACATGATGAGGTCCGAGCCAAGAAATATTCCCCGTTTTAACGGCTGTGCTCAGACCTAGTGCTTATCTTATGATTTGCATTCGGAACTCCGTCGGTCGCAGACTCACAGCTCCTACGTCAGCTTTCTCGAAAGATCACTAGGTCCTTCGCTTATAAATCTGTTTTAACTACTATGGGGGAGCTATGTAGCCTCTGATTGGTTTGGCTTGGGTTTGATTTTATCTCGCACTAAGGATCCACCATGCCATTTTAACGGGATAAGCATCTTCCCTCGAGTCATACATATATTCGTTAACCAAATCAACAACATTATCAACAACAACAATAAAAACAATAACAATATATATAGTCACCGGGTGGCATGAAAGACATCAAAAGAAGTCTTAAGATGCAAGAAAGTCAACTTTTATCACCTAGGCAACCTCAACTAGATGAACGAGACGACGAGAGATGGTCCTCCATTCAGCTCGCCGCTGCGCAAGGGAATTTATGCCAAGTACAACGGCTCTTATCCCAGTCAGTGGATCCCAATGAGCCCCCTAAAGGCTACTATGGGCAGACAGCCCTTCAAGCTGCCTCCCATAATGGACATCTCGCCGTGGTTGAGATGCTATTAGTGGCAGGGGCAGACGTGAACGCTCCCGGTGGAAACAACGGTGGCAGATCAGCAGTAGTACTAGCCTCTGGAGCAGGCTATCTGGATATCGTCAGCCACTTAGTGTCTATGGGAGCAGATATCAACTGCCCACCCCATCAGTATATGGGCCGAACTGCCCTACAGGCCGCCGCCGAGGGTGGCCATATCGAGCTCCTAGAATGGCTGCTTCAGCAAGGCGCAGAAATTAATGCCCCTACAGCTAAGAATGCAGGTCGCACTGCACTGCAAGCTGCTGCATTAGAAGGCCACGCCGATATCGTGGAAATTCTCCTACACCACAAGGCCTACGTGAACACGCCGGCCGTAAGGTATAAAGGCTTTACGGCCCTTCAAGGCGCGGCTTTTGGCGGCCACCGCGAGATTGTCCGTCGGCTCTTAGATATAGGGGCCGATGTGAATGCCGAAGGCTCATATTATAACGGATATACGGCGCTTTCCGCAGCGGCAGAATCCGGCCATCATGAGATTGTCCAGATTTTGCTCAACGCGGGCGCAGATGTATCCCTCAAATCAGGAAATAAGAAGTGGACGGCGGCACAGATTGCGGCCTTCCGGGGGCAAAATGCCATCACGCAAATCTTCCAACAGATTAAGTAAACAGGGTTGAGAGCATCTGAAAGTTAGAACTTGAGATTGTCGAGGATCATTCATATTGGATTTAGTCGGTAGTGTTCACCCACGACCGGCTGCTGGCGTTGTGCACGAGACCTTGAACTTTAGCACTGGCGGAGAGGTCACTTATCTTCAATTCACTAGTAATAGTCTGAAGACGGTTTCTCGGCGGTCCCGAGTGTTGAGTTTGAGTGTTATGAATAGTGTAAGGTTGGATTAAAATCGAACTAGTGGCAGACTAGGATGTGTTGTCCATACTGGGAAATATAAATGGCGTACTGTTTGATACAAACTTCCCAGCTCAGGGCTAAGCTCCAATGCGAGGACTGAAGTATTCGCCTTTGTGAACCTTAAGCCGTGTGCAGTAGCTTGCCTCACATCCACTCTCCGAATCATTTCCCCACCATGGAAGCTTGACTGAGTTGTAGCTAATCGCAAAGAAAATAATGACATCAGCAATGGCGATTGCGGTTGACAGAGCGGCTGACAAGACATAATTGTACTTCGCCCAGAAGGCAAGGTACCGCGTGTGCACATATTTCATGCTAAGATAGGCGGGAAGTACGGAAGGCCACATGTAGGCAATATTATACTTGATTGAGATGTTGTTAGCAAAATAATGTCGGTTGAAAGCGAGGTTGGTTTAATGGACGACTCACGGGAGACCAATGCATTCCTCCAGCGAGGAACATGACGGGGTAAACTTCACTAAACCAGTGATTCCGAGGAAGCCTTTTCTGAATGAATTGTAAAACAAACGGCAAGCCGAGCCCAATGGGGAAGGCATATAGCAAGGTCATGTAGGTTCCGTTCGCTCCGAACATTTTCCGTGCACCGAGGCTTCCAAATAGAACAGCAGCGGTGAAGTAAGCGTTGACTCCCGGGCAGGTAAAACGATCCGGTTGATTTCTGAAAATCACATTAGAGATTGCTTACGGCTGACCCATGTCAGGGATCTTCGTGATTTTGACTGTGTTAGCGTTCGATATGCCCGCTATTACTTTTTGTTGCTTACTTGACAAACTCATCTTCGTCGGGCTTACTATACAGTTGATAGTTTTACTTCGTCAGTATATTGCAGCGAAGGGGGTTGAATAGAAAACCTATGACGTTTGAATACCTCAGCCTATGGCACAACCACTCTAGTGATGTCGCCGATTTTCTCTGACAGTTCCACCATGATGTGGATCTATTTGAACTGTCCCGGTGTGAAGACTAAAGGTCCTATAGAAAACTGTGGTTCAGGACGTATAGGAAATCCAAGTCATCTACTCCATATTTCTACATCCTACCACGCCCATTACAGCCAATATATAGTTCTCTAATCTCCCCTGCAGATGAGATATCTACCCCATGCGCCATTATTGCGTGCTGTGTTAGTACAATGATAAAACATGGTGGCAACATGGCTGTTCAAATGGCCGCTCTACTTCCTCAACACTTTCGGCCCGCTACCGAGCTTGGCGTAGTCAGTAGTATCTCGCCATTTGGAACTAAAAGGTCTTTTATTATTCTGTTGTATATTGTCGTTTCCCAAAATACTTATCCCTATGACACTAGACACACCCATAGTGAACGCCCGGAGGCCACTAGGAGATTCAGTGGGGGTCGCACTTGGGTCGCGGCCGGAGCAGATACCGTAATCAGGCAGGGTATCAGGGATCAGAATACGGAGTACATCCAGATTACAAAATAACGGCCTGATATAATGAGTGCGGTCGAATTGCTCTGTCTTTTCCGGAAGCACGTCAGCGCATATTGCTGCCATGTTTCTTGGCACTTCGCCTTGAAGCTTCCTTGTGCTTGTAGAAAAGAAGTTTCCCTTTCCCTCAATGTTGCTATCTGAGATATAGATGAGACCGTGAGAGAATAACCGTGGGAAATGAAGGGAAGCTTGGGATTTAGCTAAACGGTGATGATCAAACTCATAGGATGACCCCGCAGCGCACAGGTAGCAATGGCTCTAGGCTTTACCTATTTAGGCTGTCCACCTCCAGGGCTGCCGGGACCTTTATTCTCATCCGGATGTACACAATCATGATAAGCTAAATGTTCGGGTTCGGGTTTTGATGGAGTCATGTAACTTAAACATGGATCGCGTGGTACTTGGAGCTATGAGAAATATACCGGAAGTGTCTGAAAGTGGATAGTAATCGAGTGACGCGATTTGTATCCACGTTTGCGCCAATGCGGACTTTCCGATAACACGCACTTTCACTTCTTCTTCTTCTTCTTCCTTATCGAAGTCTCAAGGATTCCAGCGCCACTCTAGAGACACCCATGGCGACCAAGAACGGCTTCCTGCCGTTGGAGACGCCTCGTGATTTCGCACAATCCTCCATTTCTCGTTGTCTTCGTCATGGAAAACTCCTACTGGGTACCCTTTTGTTAGCAGCAGGCATAGTGATGCTAATTCAAACTAAATACCTCGCCAATATCACTAGTTCTGGTCGAGAGACCTTTTACGAAGGGCTGAACAAATGCCATGAAGCTAGGTATCAGTATGAGGCACCTCAATCAACAGAGGATCGGGAAAACCCACGGTGGAACTCAATCTCCGGCCAGAAGACACCAGTCCTGATCCAAAATGCAACGCTGTTCGACGGCCAGTCCGTCCTTGCAGAGGCAGTCGATATCACATTTGAGGCAGGCGTTATTCGTTCTGTATCAGCTGCAAATTTGAACCGCCAAGCCCCCAAGTATGCTCAAACTATCAACGCCCAAGGAAGATTTGTCACCCCTGGCTTGGTGGATATGCATTCGCATCATTTGTTACTCCCATTCCCCCACCTTCCATCTACCAGCGACGTCAACGAGCGCCCGGTCCTAGGACCCATCACTCCGTTTGTTCGCTCGTTGGATGGATTCAAGCCATATGACCCAGCGATCCAGATCATCGCATCGGGTGGTGTCACTTCTTCCTTGATTCTACCAGGGTCGGCAAATATTGTCGGTGGCGAGGCATATCTAGTAAAGAACTTGGCAACGCCAGGCCCAAATGCCGAGCCGGTCGTCGAGGAATTACTGCTTGATTATGGCATCGCGGAAAAAGACCGAAGGAGATACTTGAAAATGGCATGCGGGGAGAACCCCAAGCGCAACTATAAGAACACCCGGATGGGTCTAGTGTGGCTTTTGCGCAAGCATCTCGCGGCAGCAAAGGAGCTGCAAGAGCGCCAATCTGCCTGGTGCCGGACGGCTGCTAATATTGACAAAACTGGCTTTTCCCAATCTCGACGAATTTCACAGTTCTTGAAAGATGAAGGGAGACGACCGGAATCCTTTGAGCTTGAAACTTCTCTTGCACTTCTCCGAGGCGAGCTCAATGTCAATGTGCACTGTTACGAACCGGAGGATCTTGAGCGCATGTTGTCAGTGCTTCATGAATTTGGCATCCATCCCAGTGCTTTCCACCATGCGCTAGAAGCGTGGGAAGTGCCTGAATTGTTAAAATCCCTAGAGGAGTATGTGCCCTTCTTCCTGTTGGTTTCATTTACTGACTGGCCTCAGAAACATCACTATTGCCACTTTTGCAGAGAATGCGCTTTACAAAGCAGAGGCATATGGGGCCAATTTACGGGGGCCTAAGATTTTGGCTGATCATGGTGTCCAAGTTGCACTGAAGTCGGTATGAAATTGCTTCTTTCGTAAAGCGATATTGGTCTATCTAACACCAAAAGGATCATACTGGGGAGGGAAACTATGCAAAGTACCTTGTGTGAGTGGACGAAAAGTTCTATATTCAATCACCTAACAATCATCTAACCTGATGTCTTACAGTTACCAAGCAGCAGTTTCTCATTCGTTTGGCTTGTCTGAAGAAAAGTCTCTTCAAGCCGTGACATCTGTCCCTGCTAGATCAATCCAACAAGATCATAGAATTGGATATGTCCGTCCAGGATATGATGCAGACATCGTCATTTGGGATGATCACCCGCTCCAAGTTGGTGCAACTCCAACTCACGTATTCATTGATGGTCGGCCTGTTCTGAAGAAAGATGATAATTCTCGCGAATGGACTGCTGGAAGATCTGGCTCTGGGAAACCAGAGGCTCCCCAAATCCGACCATCTCTTGAAATAGGTCAGACGGAAGATACATGCAACAAAGTTCAGCAATTTGGTTCACGGATTCTGTTTACTGGCATTCAGAAAGCCTTGGTTGATACACACGGTCCATCTACTAGTGGCACTAGCGACCTGGTTATGCTGGTTGAAGATGGTCAAGTCAAGTGTCTTGATAAGAGATCCTCATGTCTCTCCGGTGAGATTCAGGAAAATACCGCACATATCGCTTTGAAGAACGGTCACGTTCTGCCTGGGCTTGTAGCCTTCGGCAACACACTCGGAATCCAATCCATCCCATCTGAACCCTCAACTGGGGATGGATCGGGTTCGAAAAACGGGGATGCACTCAACGAAAAGAAGTCACTTCACTTTGCCAAGTACGGCGTACATCTTGATAGCAGAGGACTCGCGAGAGCCAGGATTGGAGGCGTCACGCGAGCCATCACTGCCCCTCTCCATAGTGGCGGCGTTGTACAAGGTGTCAGTGTTGGATTACGCACGAGCGTGAATGCCACAATTCTTGATAATGGTATCTGGGAGGATGATGTGGCACTCCATCTCGTGATAGGTCAGGAAGCTAAAAGTAAGGGGTTTGCTTGTCATATTTGGGACCAAGCTAATCTGGTTTCTTTTAGGTGATGAGACACCAACTGTCTCTTCTGGGGTTGAGCGACTGCGTCAGTTGCTTCAGGCTGGCGAGGATACCGCACCCGGGAGCTTGGGCATTTATGCTCGGGCTGCTAACGGCTCACTCCCTGTGGTTGTACAGGCATTTAATGAGGTAATGTGGAGTATACTTCTGCGCCCTTAAAAAACGCCCTTCAAAAGAACTGACTCAATATTGTCAGGATGATATTGCGCAATTGATCCTGGTCAAGCGTCGGTTCCGATCTGTCAACCTGATCATACACGGCGGCCACAGTGCTCCATTAGTAAGATAGCCTCCTCTCACTTGGCCTACGTAATTACATTCATACTTACTTCAATGTTCAATAGGTTGCCAAGCCTCTCGCTGAAGCAGGAATTCCTGTCATCCTCACTGGTAACCGCGGTGCCCCTGATACTTGGGAGAAGAAGAATGCCCTCACAGGGCCCCCACTTACGGAGAGCCCTGCTAAAATCTTATCCGACGCCGGTGTTTTGCTTGGCCTAGCTGTGAGAAGTGATTCAAATATCCATGGTTTGGCACAAGAAGCTTGGTGGGCTGGCAAGTATGCCGGTCTAAGTGATCAGCAGGCCATTGCACTTGTTTCAACCAATTTTGATATTATCCTTGGAGGTCAATCGAAGAAGGTCGAAGGGCGAGCATTGGCTGGGGACTTTGTCGTCTGGGAAGGTGATCCCCTGAGAGGAGAGGGTTCTGTTGTTGCTTCTTTCCAAAACGACGGGAAGATTGCCGATTGCTGGCCCGATACCGTTCATGCTATTTTGTGATCGCAGGGCCATTGTATATAGCATATTTTGTCTTCAGCCTCTCCTTTCTTCTGGCTTTTGGGCTTTGTCATTCTTTGGTTTCAAACTCGCAACGTCCTCCGAAAAGGGAATACAAAGAAAGTGTTGACGCAATTTTCATTCACCACAATTGCCGGACAACCCATCATTCTTTTTCAAACCAGATTGAGTCAAGAACTAAAGCATTTCTGCGGGGATACCGTGTCCGCGAATCGCTTGAGCTGTTGAAACTAGAAGACGAGCTGGACACGATAGCCATTGCTACGCCAAGGTTGATAGGGAAGGGAGATTTGCGCTTCTAGGTGAGAAGCCAGTCTATTGGTCTCTCTGAGATTTTGGCCCCTTTTGAATCCATTGGAACCCACTCCATCCTTCCGTTTAGGATATAGGATGTCGATCATCTTTGACTCCACTACAATTTATACCGCATAATACTCGGGGATTTGTCGCTTGTATCTTGACTCAGTCGATAGTCGACTACCCGTCTTTACATGGTCGCTTCGGCAATCTATATATCTTCCCTCCAAACTTCTTATGATATCCAGTAGCCATCGAGATCTCTCTAATGACTACACGAAGACATATGTCGTTGTTTGGCCCACCGTATAGACATATAGCTACGCTGTATCTCGCTTAATATAGTTTACACTTGTACTTAAGGCAACCGAGGTTTAGCAAAATTAAGGAAATTTGTCCTTTCAAAGCTAGCAAGTTCAAGCTTCATCATTACTCCCAGCCATCCATTGATGTTAGCAAATAAGCTTATCAATACACCCGAAATAAAATCTGGCCATATAGAGAACATTTTTGGCAACTACCAATCCGTTTCCGTTGTCATTGAATCGTTTTCCTCCTGGCCAACCAGGTTGCTACCGTCAAACTGCGATTTTGGATCACAGGTCGGTTCCTCATCGATCAAGTCAAACGGGTTCTCAAAGTTACCGTCTACTAAACCCCAGATCGAAGCTTGGGAGATCCGATGATAGTGTGGATCCTCCTCATCCGCAGGACACTCATCGTCGGTACATTCAACTTCATCGTCGGTAAATTCAGCTTCATCGTCAGTGATGTCAGCTTCATTTATGTAGTGTTCAAATTCTTGAACTGCGCCATCAGAGAACTCATATCGCATCAAATCCTCCTTTATTGTTTTTTCAGTAAGCGCCTGTTGCTGGTGTAGACTTTGCATTTCGAGGTTTTTCAGTCGCAGGTCCTTCAGATCGAGGCCCTTCCTACCATCCTCAGAGACCGCATAGCGTATCGAAAAGTACTTCTTGTCATCCTCGGAAAGCTCATATCCCCGAGCCTTCTCACAGCAACCACATTCGACAGTGCAATGTCCCGCTGCACGGCTGCGAGTCTCGTTAAGTTTGCGATTAAGACAACAACCACAGTCACGCCCACAGCAGCCTCCCCTCCCGGCACAATCCTCTCGAAGAACGCGATGCATATACCATCTAGGATTTGACCGCCAGTACTCAAAAGCTCGCCCTAAAGGCCCATCGAAGCAATCCCGGATCATCCCCCACTTGTACTCAAGTCGTTTAAATTCCTTCTCTGTGGCCTTGAACTTTTCCTCGACTTTGGTTGGATCTTGCTCATATTGTTCTCTCAAACATATTTCCCGTTGAGCAATCTCTCGGAGTCCGGTTTCCACGTCGAGGAAATCCGGCAAGCGATCTTCTTTCCCCTCCAGGTCTTGTTCGTAGACGTACCGCTCATATCGGCATCGCTGAAGGGCGTTTATATCTTCACCCTGTTTGAGTTTGTGTTCTTTTGTGCCTGTCATACCACCCCTAAACTTCTTGGATATCGCCAGCCTGATTATATCAGGTCCATCGGAGTTAAACCCGGTTTCATTATCTTTGAGCTTTTCAATGGTTTCTTTGAGTTTGGACTCATTCTTTTTGAGTTTAGCTTTGTCTTGTTCAATTCCAAGTTCCTGCCTTTCAAGATCCACTTTGCGTTGTTGAAGTGCAAGCTTATGCTTTTCGAGCTCGGCTTTGCCGTGTTTAATTCTAAGCTCGTGCTTTTCGAGGCCAAGGTCCAATTCACGCCTTCGAAGTTGACGTTCACGATCTTGGAGCTCAATCTCCTTTGGGGTTTGATTGCTAGAATTGCTCATTCTGAACGTTTAACAAGACTAATGACTGGCGAAATCAGACGGTAAAGGCGAACTTGGATTGTTTCAGGAAGTGGGTTGGGAGAATTGACAAGTCGTCCTTTAAGAATATTTCTATCGACTGTTCATTGTGATGTCAGGATACTTTATACAGTACTAACGTGCTCAGATCGGGCAATAGCCTTCTCATTATCTCACTCTGAGCCATCTATATTTCGGCATGTCCAAGATAGGCAAATGACGAATTTAATAACGCCGATTAATGTGATTGGTCGAAATACGCCACGTTGACCCCATCAGCTCCAGGGCCCTGCCGCAAGTGGAGATCGGCACGCTGACATAATCCAGGGCACCCGCGAAAAAGCCGCATCGAGTCGTGTGTCCCGAAGCTTGTTCCTTTTTTCCCTCTTTGACTCCTGTTCTTCATTGTCGCCTTTCCTTTGTCGGGAATACTTACAAGACGCAACTTCCTACGCAATCGCGTCGACCCGACTTTTGTTTTTTTATTCAGTTATAGCGACCGTGCATACCCCCCATCACCGTCATGTCTCTTTTCCAGATTGCCTTTGACTATGCGGCGCCTTTCTTGTATGTGGGCGGGAACGAACTCCCGATTGATCTCCAAGTTCCCAGTGCTTACCATGCATATATACAGCCTCATAAGCTCCCCCGTCACGTCCTATGCCGACCAGATCCTCAGCATTCATCGCACAAGAAGCTCAGCGGGCTTCTCATTGGATATTCCTCTGATTATGCTGATTTCGTCGATCCTGAAGTAAGATCCCGATCAACGGCGCATGGGCGCAAAATGTTGACATTGTTAGGATTTTCTTTTGGTTTGGCGAGCACTACTCAGGCACTTTGTTGACGCAAGCAATTGTCATGATCGTGGTACAGATTACGATGCTCAAGGTTGCGCTCGATAATCGGCCCTCCGCCGGCGTGCGGAATGGGATTGAACACACACCCTTCAGCGGTGGTAACTCTGACGGTTCATCCTCGAGACCCTATGAGTTTTGGCAGTGGAAGACCACCAAGCCGTAAGTTCCGGCCCCTCCGGCCTTAGCGATTAAAGCTAATTACCCATTTTCAAAGATATTGGATGTCTTTGGCTTATTTTGTCGGAATCTTGACCGTCATCCACCTGACCCCAGTCGCTCAATCGCAATTCTATATCAGTCTCATTGGCTACAGCGGACTTGCCGTCGAAGCTACCCTCCCGATCCCTCAAATCATTGCCAACCACCGATCCGGCTCGTGCAAGGGCTTCCGAGTCTCCGTCGTCGCGGCTTGGATTCTCGGTGATACCATGAAGATGAGCTACTTTTTCAACAGCACAGAGACCATCCCCTGGGCATTCAAGCTCTGTGGTATCTTCCAGTGCATTTGCGACTTCTACCTGGGCTTCCAGTTTTATTACTTCACCCGAAACACTCCCACTCAAACTCCGTCCCACTCCCACTCCAGCTCGCTCTCCAACTCGTTCAACCCACACTCACACTCGAACTCCAACTCCCTATCCCACGCTTTTCCTCTCTCCGCTTCTCACTCCCGTTCCACCTCCCAGACCGCAGGCGAGTCTATGGAGCAGAGCGGGCGCTGGGGTCACCACGAGAAGGATATCCGCATGGACTAAAATACCTAGGATGAACTTGGGCTAGACTCAATATTTATGTAGATAGCTAGCATTGGCAAACAGCATTATAGATCTGTAATTTGAGCGAGATAATGTCAATACTATGATGTTTTATCAAAAAGAAACGTTGGCCGGTCCTTCTCCGATTGCGAGCGTCGGGTGAGGGGCTGCCCCGCGTCACTTCGAACGCCGCTCTGCTCCGATATCTGTTGAACTTCTTCCCCACGAAACCACAGATCTACCGTTGTTGTTTATTCTGTTTATTCTCCGACGTAGTAACGCAGCTAGGACTTGCAAAATGTCTGACCTGCCCACAATCCGCATTGGCTATGTGCCCGGTACGTCAGGTCTTCCTCCCCAGACCTTCCGCATCAGCTGCAAAATATTACTGCCATATTCAAGCTACTCGCTTTGTCTCAACGAAGGCTGCCGGTCATTTTGACTTTCTATTATACATACTATAGCTAACGATAAGCTTTTCACGCGTCCTAGAGCACTACCTAACCCCACTCCATCTCGCCCTTGGTTCCCAAGCCGTTGCCTCGCTCCCATTCAAAATCGTCCCAACTCCCTTCCCCTCCGGGACGGGGCATATGATCGCATCCCTCCGTGGCAACGAAATTGACATCGCCATCGGTTTGACCGAGGGTTGGGTCGCCGGCTTGGCCGGAAAGCAGCAAGCCAGCCAGACCTCCGCAGATTCAGATGGAGGATACAAGGTCGTCGGTCACTGGGTAGACAACCCTCTGCGCTGGGCTATCGTCACGGGCCGCAATCGTGACGAGATTAATGGAGTGTCGGATCTGAAAGACAAGAGAGTTGGAGTCAGCCGGCTGGGAAGGTAAGCCCTCAACATTGAGCCATGGTAACCACAGTATAGCTTGGAGACTGACACAACGACTGTAGTGGCTCTCATATCATGTCCTTTGTTCTGGCCCAGCAACAAGGCTGGAAAGCCGACTCCTTGACCACCGTCCCTCTGGGACCGTTCGGGCCCTTGCGGGATGGCGTGTCCGGCCTCGATGAGTCAAAGCCTGACGAGGCCGCGAACCCATCCGCTGAGTTCTTCATGTGGGAGGAATTTACCACGAAGCCTTACTTCCACTCCACATCTGAGAAGCCGAACCCGCCGCTTAAGAAGATTGGCGAGATCTTCACGCCGTGGCCTTCATGGATGATTGTCGCTTCTACGGCACTATTCCCTAACCCTGAGCAAGACCAGCGCTTGGAGAGTCTTTTCCGGGCTCTGGATCAGGGAATCAAGGATTTCGAGGCTGATACGGCGAATGTTGTGAAGCTTTTGGGTACTGGCGAGCTCGGTTGCAATTATATTGAGGAGGATGCGACGGAGTGGCTTAAGGATGTCAAGTTCACCAACGCCACACGGGGCGTCGACGATAAGATTATCGGTGGTGTTGTCGATGTGCTCAAGGTGGCTGGTGTTATTGACTCGGCTATGAGTAATGACGAAGCTATCCAGCGTGTCATTGGTATCAAGAGATAGTTTCCTTACCGATTGAACATGAAGTAATCATAATATAAACAATATGCGGCGCGGTAATACTCTCCTCCAGTGGTGGATTTTAGACATGCCACATCGACCTATACGGTGCTATGCTCCTAGATAGCATGGTCGGAAATTGTTCTACCACGATACATGATATATTTCGAATCAAATGGAACAGAAAGGCCCATTCTACATACCTGAGAGCTGATCAAGGCTGGTATTGAGTAGGGGTATCTCTTTCGGCCACAGGCCACACGCGGATCCAGCTAAGCTTTGTGAAATCACCTATTTTACATCTCTAGTTATATCAGAAACATTGTGTAAGAACTTTTGCTTATATTGGCGGGTGGTTATTCTCTACTTCATGGCTAAAGTGATATCAACTTTCTAGTGCTGACATTCAGTATTGTGGGAGAGAAAGAAACATGCAAAAGGCATCGAGAAAGACCGACAACGGGACATAGTAGTATTATCTCCAAGAATGCAGATCAGGAGATAGTATATGCCTATCTAATGTTTTCAGTCTCAGTTCTGACTTGCTGTGATTAGCCGCTACCCTCTTGGGTATGTATGATATGGTGTTCAGCGACGCCGCCATGGCCTGCGGAAGCCATCAGTTGGCCTCTGTATGGTCAGTGATGCGACAGAAGTCGCAGCCTAGGTCTCTGGCGAACGTAATGGAGTTGCAAGGTTCTAGTGCCTCACTTTGGAAATCTGGCCAGACACGTATATAACTTGCACATGGCTGTGACAGGTGAACACGAGAGAGCAGCCAGGTAGTGATCTGGATCATTAATCCGTTGAAACACTTGTACAGTAAAGTCCCGATGCTTGATGAATCTCTTGACGCTACCTTCACTCGGACGTAGGGGAGATATCAAATCAGCCTCCCTTCCAAAACATTTCAATGATACCCGGTAGACGTCCTATCGTCGCGGGTTGACTGGAACATAAGAATACGTCACATACGGACGAGAGTACGAGCTGACCGATGCCTGGGTGTTCGATTCGTCTGGAGCTGCCTAAGGCGTCCGTTTTGAGGGTGTTATGAAGTCCATTGAAGATCGCGGTTCGGCCTCAAATTGTGCCCGGAATTAAAGTGATTAGCTGTGTTGAATAGCTATTCGAAGTGAGGGTTCTGGGACCACCGGCGCGTATGTGTCTGTGTAGCACCATCCAAGCTCTATAACTATTGGACGATGCTGCGGGCAGACGAAATATAATTGCTGCTCTGAAACGGAGCAACGGCACGAGCGGCGGAGCGACTATGGATAATTCTCCAGACCTTCCATGTTCCCCGTGTCTTGTCGGCCGCATAAGTTGCTGGCCTATGTTGTAGGTGAAATTTGGGGCCCAGTCTGTGGAAACTCATTCAGGGTCGGGACAAATGACAGTATCCTCGGGTAGTGTCCCTACCTGTATACATCGACCACAGTTCATTCGTTAGAAGAGAGCTATCAAGTAGGATACGAGGAACCAACCTTACAGTCTTCATAGATCTTCAGGAAATGTAAGATTTCAGGACGTGGCGGGAAGAGCAGACTAAGTCCTTGAAATGCATCAGCCTGAAGGATGAGTGTTATTTGCCGGTCTCTGAAGCTTGCTAGGGCGTTCCATGGACCATAAGACTCCGCTGGCAGTGGTTTGATTCACCTGAACGTCTGTTTGTAGCGTTCTTATGAGTCCGTAGGAATGAATCAGCTTTCTCTTCCGATCTGAATATCTCAGAAATGGGAACGAGCGGATTCTCACATTAGTGTGATTTTTGACGCGTCATCCACGACCCCTTCCACTATTGCTTGAACCATGCTTGGTGGATCGCCATGGATACCTGCGACCCAGCTGCACGACTTACCCTGAGGTCGACACCGAAAACAGAAGAAGGGTAGAAGGAGGAAGATACTTACTAGATTGAAGATCTCGAGGCGGAAGATGTAGAGAAGGTTGTAGAAGTTACAGATACCTCTTGCTCGATTTTTGACTTGCAGTATGGTTGACACACTCCTAGCCTCTGTTAGAGCTTATGAGAAAGCGACTCCGGGCATCTTTGGACCTCGCGAGGGTCTCTCTCATGTTTATGTTATGACTGATGTATCTGCAACTAGCGGGATGACCATTGGCCCAGCCATGGCTGGATTTCGAGACAAGTTTGGCTACACTTCCATGAATTGGGTTTTCGGTAAGTGATCCGTTGCATGCCTGGGAAGATTGTGTATTTTTTTTTTTTTTTTTGGTTGAAATTGGCAGGAGGTTATATATCCTAGCTTTTTTTGCAGCTTGCTTTTTGCAATCGAAAGCATTTCCGTGGGAATGCCTCATTTCAGTATTCGACGCTAACCCAAGTGCGTTCGGGACAGATCTAGATGTGATGGTGGCTTGCATTCTCCAGCGGAATAGCTCGGATTTATGACCAATAGAGGGTCAAATAACGCTGAGTAGGCTAAATCTAGGGTTTTACATATTTAGGTATTCATAGTCAACGGGTTATGGTGTTGCATTTACTAATATATATATCGAAGCTCCAGTGCGTTTCTTATGCTATGCGAATATTGATCAACACCTAAAATCAGTATTTTTTTTTTAAGAACCTGACCTTGATATTTCAGCAAGAACTTGAATATTTAACAGCATTATCAAACCAAAGAATTTATGGCCTAATTATGAATATGTTGTTAAATTAGGGTTACTAGAGTCTAGTTTAACTGAATGGTGACCGCCCAGATGACTCCCGAGATGACTCCCGAGATGACCATCAAGATGACCACCCACCCACCAAGATGACCACCAAGATGACCACCCAGATGACAAGGGATGCGGCTCCTGACCATGTGATGGCCGGGAGCCCGGCATAGGATACAATCTCTAACAAATAGGCAAATACCCATAGCCTAGAATTTGATTTTACACCCCCAACATGCTCATCCCTCGGTGCATTCTTAGATCTACCCCCAGTCCCCTGACAACAGTGGAATGTAGACCGGGGCACCGGCACACACTCCACAATCTTGTTAAAATTATCATCTGGTAATATTGCTTGCGATTTGGATACATTTGGAGCGGAGGAATGGCTCCAAACCCTTTTTTTCCCAGATCGCTGGCGTGGACATGTGGATCATACCATGCGCTGAGGGCACCGGGTGTGAGGCACCTGAATGGGCAACGCGGCCATTATTCCTTGAGAATGACGAGGACAAAAACACAACGTATACTATTTAATGATGCGCTATGCTCGTTCATGATGAGGCACGGTGTTCTGGCATCTCCTTGTCGTTTCCGTCCCTATACACCCCCTAATCCAATATCTTAATTCATTCCTTAATACCTAATTATACAACTCGACTACATAGTGTACTGCGTTTATCACCATGCGTCGCTACCAGGGTGTCCTCCCTTGGTCTATTTTGCTAGCTTCAATTGGAGGAGCACAGGCGAAGCTGGACTTAAACTCGACCAGCAACATCGTTGTTTACTGGGGTATGTGATCATTGATTGTTTGGGTGAGTGAATACTAACATGAGATACACTGAAGGCCAAAATTCTTTTAATGGAAAGGGCGATAAGGCACAGCAGCCTCTGGCATACTACTGTGATAGTGAGTTAACTCGGTATTTCCGATGTGGTGTTTGGAGCTAACAAGACCCTCTAGATGATGACATTGATGTAGGAACCAAATCACCAAGGAGTGCCTTTGAAATGATGTGCTAATAAAATGACACAGGTGATACCGATGGCCTTCAACATGATGGTCAATGGCCCAGGAGGCGCTCCAGAGATTGATTTATCTGTTACCAGCAAGGACTGCGATGTCTTCGAGGGTACCCAGTTGAAGAACTGTCCTTCAGTTGCGTAAGTGTTGCTAGATCCTGTGGGGAAAATTTACCAGACGGCTAATATTGCCTAGTAAGGACATCGCGACCTGCCAAAAGAAGAACAAGACAATTCTTCTTTCAATCGGTGGAGCCACGTACAGCGAGGGCGGCTTCAAGTCTGAACAAGATGCCAAGGACGGCGCGAAGTTGATGTGGGAGACCTTTGGCCCCAAGCAAGATGGCTCCAAATCCCTTCGTCCCTTCGGTGACGTCGCCCTAGATGGGTTCGACTTCGACTTTGAGGCCAATGTCCAACACATGGCCCCATTTGCCAACGAGCTGCGCTCATTAATGGAGGCAGATAAGAGCAAGCAGAAGTTCTACTTGACGGCAGCACCGCAATGCCCCTACCCAGACCAGGCAGACAAAGAGATCCTCAACGGTCCTGTCTACATCGACGCTATCTGGGTGCAGTTCTACAACAACTATTGCGGGGTCAACAACTTCAACACCGACCCCTCAAGCAGCAAATACAATTTCGACGAGTGGGACAATTGGGCCAAGAACGTGTCTAAGAACAAAGATGTAAAGGTCCTTGTTGGGGTGCCGGCATTCACTACGGCGGCGAGCACGGGGTATATCCCGGCATCCGAGCTGGCCAAAGTGATTGAATACACGAAGAAGTTCGAGAGCTTTGGGGGTGTGATGATGTGGGATGCCACACAGGCTTACGGTAACGAAGGGTTTATCAAGGACGTTCGAAAAAGCCTGGGCCCTGCGCATGATTCCGGTTCGTCGTCGCCCGATCCGGTGTCAACCTCGGCACCTGCCTCTACGTCCACTGACTCAACGAAGCCAACAACACTAACGACGTCGACGAAACCGACGACGACGTCTTCATTTTCCAATGCACCCGACTCCTCACACTCGGGTTCCTCCTCCTCATCTGTTACTGCTTCGCCCAAGGGAGCTGAAGAAACCGCCACCACCACCACCACCACCACCAAGGAACAGAAGCCCACCGTTGCGACATCAACTACTCTAGCCACTACGAGCACAGATAACAAGCCCGAGAGTACTGAAGTGAAGCCGACTCTTGCTGCAACCACATCTGCTCAGACAACTGAGGCTCCAAGCTCGACTACGGCTCTTAGCTCGACTACGGCTCCAACTTCAACTGCGGCTCCAACCTCGACTGAAGATGACTCCGAAGATGATCCGGACAGCATTCCTTTCAGCTCTATCCTCGGTAACGACCTTCTAGGTTTGCTAGGTGGCCTCCGCAAGGCGAACAAGATCACTAGCGGCGTCACTCATGGCCTGACCAACAATCTCCACCGTGGTCAGCGCCACCGTACCTGAGCGATTGAAGTTGTTTGTCAAGACCGACATTGTGAGGGCTGAGTCTCATACCCTTGGGGATTTTGTGTCGGCTACCATGTACATCCATGGTAAGACTGTTCAGCGCATATGAAGAACCTTCACGATGAATTTGACGTTATTTCGGACCCGCTGCGCTTCCATCCTTTCTGATTTTTTGATCACATTTTATACCCTTCGACTTCATTGGTTTAAACCCACCCAATTTTAGGGCTTACCCTCCTTTATATGATACCCAATATTTAATTTTGTCTTTTCGGTCCTTGGAATATTACACTATCTGTGTTGCTTTGTGCTTTCTCCAAATGGAATTACAGTAATTTCATTCTGTCATGCGATGAATACATCTGGGCAATAGTGGAATGAGGAGTGTAGCTCGTTTTTATTTATCTACCAACGTATTGTCAAATGGTCTCCATCCGTAATAAATGATTGAATTAAAAGATACGAAAAAATTAGACGTATTTCAGTGCTATTAGGATACTTGCAAGCACATTCCATTCAACTCATTAGAGGTTAACATAGAGACCCTCGTGCTCTTGTAAGTTGCCCCCCAACCCCTGAGAACACGCCATAATGATAACGGTCATCACCGTCGACAATACCTAAGTAGGCCAGGAACAGAACAAAAAAAAAGCCTTTCAACATCCAATCATGATTAACTTCGGGCTTCATACCTTCCATTTGATATCAAACCCCTTTACTCAGCCTCCTCTTCCTCCTTGCTTGTAGCCAAAGAGAACCGACCCTTCGGCACACCCCCTTCCTCATACTCAACGGTAAGACGAGAGAAGTGAGCAAGTATATTCTCGATTTTGACCTCCCCTTTGTCGCGCTGGACACGACCTAAGTTATCGAGCCACTTGATCTTGTTCAAGATGAAGTATACCAGAGCGATAACGATCGACACACCAAGTGAATAACCCCAGATGCGTACGACAGTGACAATATCAGTCCAGCCATTCCTGGTCTCGACAAACTTATCTGCGGGCTTGGTCCTCATGTTTTCGTTGGTAAACCAACCAAACAGACAGAAGATAGTAGCCAAAATGTCGACGCCGAGGATCGCGGTTACTAAATGGATAGATGGCCATGTATCGATGCCACGAGTGACAAAAATAAGCCAATTCTCCGTGAGCGCCACTTCCAAAAAGAGGACTTCTTGAATAGATCCCCAGTTTTGGATAATACCTCCGGAGTTCAGGAACATACTGCCTCGAATAACCCACGTACCCAAAGCGAGAAGCACACCAAGAGCAGAGGAAATGAACCAGATTTTGGGAAGTTGCCACTCAACAGGTCGCAACTCGAAGGATGCATGGTCATAGGCTACCGCAACGGTCGCAAGATCGGCGAACAATGCCAGGAAGACAATAAGCTCGACACGGATGCTTTCATTGAGGATGATCATCGAAGTCACAAGGTAGATCTCAAGGTGTAAGCATAGCGCAATGCGGTACTGAATGTATGACTTCATGCGATGGAAGATTTGACGTGCGACCTTGATAGAATCAATGATAGTCGACAGTCCAGGCTCCAGGAACACGATGTCTGATGCAGACTGCGCGGCTTCCGAAGCACCTTCGACGGCAATACCACAATCAGCCTTTTTCAGAGATGGTGCGTCATTTACGCCATCACCTGTCATCGCAGTCAAGTGTCCCCGTTCTTGTAGCATTTGTACGACTTGATATTTGTGTTCTGGGAACACCTCGGCAAAGCCGTCCGCTTTTTCAACAAGATCACTAGCCATAGCACCACTCAAACCACCGTGAATTAGCTTGTCGGAGTTATACACCTTGGTGCCCAAAGCCAACATATTACACGTTTCTTTCGCAATAGCAATAGCATCACCGGTGAGCATCTTGACGCTGATTCCGAGGTTCTGTGCTTCGCTGATAGTTTGAGCGGTGTCTTCTCGGGGCGGATCAAACATGGGCAGCATTCCAAGCAAAGCCCAGTCTTCGCCTTCCTTTTGAACGGCAACACCGAGAGAGCGGAAGCCTCGATGCGCAAATTCTTGGGCTTTGGCCTTGTACAAGTCAGAAGTCTCCTTGGAGCAGCTTGTCAATTGAAGGACGGCTTTCGGAGCGCCTTTGGTGCAGGTATACCGAATGCCATCACAGGTGGCAATAGTGACGATGCGTTTTGAAACTGGATCAAAGGGGGTGAAGGTTTCAGTTGACCAACCCCGTCGCAATATTTCTCGTGCTCTTGGGTACTGCCTCAGCGTCAAGATTGTCACCTTGTCAATCGGATCGAGAGATTCAATGTTGTGTGAGGATGCAAGAGCAGCAACGGCGAACATCCAGTCAACATCGACACCTTCAGCCACATAAGGATCCCGAATACTCAGTTTGTTTGCCGTCAGAGTACCGGTCTTATCGGAACACAAAATGTCAACACCCTATTTCGCTGTTAGTATTTGCCGGCAGTCCAATATGATGCAGACTTACGGCAAGTGATTCAATTGCAGTCAGCTTTTGCACAATAGCTTTCTTTTTTGCCAGATAGGCAGCGCCAACAGCCATGGTGGTAGTGGTGACAACAGGCAAGCCGACAGGTACACCAATGATCAACAAAGACAGAGTATAGTGAAGCAAGGTCTGCTGACCAGGCGAAGCGATAGGAATATGACGGAAGAATCCACCAATCCACGCTGCGAGTATCCAGGCCATAACAAGAATCAAGAGCGATGTTCCGATATTGTCCATGACAAGTTCGAAGTGCCCTGCGCCTTTAGCAGACTGCACCATACTTGCAGTGCGGCCAACGAAGGAAGTCCTCGCACCCGTTTGAACGACTGCATAGGCCTTCCCACGCTTGCAGCCAGTCGTATAGAAGATCATGTCCCCCATATAACGATCCACGGCTAGCGATTCGCCCGTGATAGCAGAGTGATCACAGGCCAGAATAGGATAACCACGCCTGCGAGCCTTCTTGGCCTGGTGTTCGTCGTGCTCCTTAGCCTTGCCATCGTCTTCGTCCTTCTTCTTGTCGGTCTTGGTTGGGTCATCCTCTTCCTCAGACTCGGACCCTCCACCGAGCATACCCTGCTCTTGAAGCTGGTTGAATTCTTCCCAGCCATGTTCATCCTTGATGTCACATATAACCCTGCAGTCCGCAGGCACGACTTGACCTTCACCGATAATGACCTACATTATTCATTAGACTCTGATATATACTGATGTTGGGGCCCTCCAAGATATACTTACGACATCACCTGGAACCAACTCCCGAGCAAGACATTCTTGTTGAGTGCTATCACGAATAACCTGCGCACGCAGAGCAATGTCACCCTTGAGACTCGCAACCACATCAGCAGCCTGCTTCTCTTGATACCAGCCCACTGCCGCGTTCAGACACAGAATACCAATGATGACACCAAAGTCAACCCAGTCCTCTAGACCAGCAGCAAGCAAAGCAGCCAACTCCATCACTATGCTAAGTCAGCATGGTAGTCAAAAGAAGCGATTTGGACTCACCATAGAGAATTGGACCCTGGAAGTAAGAAAGGATCTTAGCAATAGGATTCTCCTTCTCAGATGTCAACTCATTCCATCCAGCCCGACGACGACGTAGTGGAACTTCATGACTAGAAAGTCCCTCTCGGACATCCGTCATGGTCCACTCATCAGGAAACTTGCCGGTTTCCCCCTCGACCCTTTTAACGCGGACCTTTCGCTTCTTCCACGGAGCATACCAGACTCGTTTCTCCACTAGTTCGCCTTCCTCTTCATCCGCCGCATTGGCATCGCGGAACGTCGACACGTATTTGACGAGCTTGCCATACTCGTCTAGATTGTTCCAGTCCCCGCTGAGAGATGCACGAGAGATACGTGAGCTGCGGCGGCGAACGTCGGCACGCTCGGCTTTGGCCTCACCGGCCATATCTGGCTTTACAAGTCAGTTAACAGTCATTTCGAGAGAGAAAAATGGAAAGCACAGGTAGAAGCATACCTGTCAAAGAAGACAAGATTATTGATTATAATTAGGAACGAATGAACGAAGCAAAAGGGATATAGAAATGAAGAAACAATGGTACTAAAGGAAATGAGTTTTTCCAATGTTCTATTCGCACCTCAGGACGACCTGCAGGATGACAGGAATTTGAGACAATCGCAATATTATCTTGAGTAGAAAGGAAAAGAGCTGCTGGCGTAACGACATCTTCCTTTCTAAAGTAAATCATGCTGACGTCGAGCTAGGAAGTTCCCGGGAGAGAAAGCTCATGTCCACAAATGTATGCTTGCTCACGTTTTGGTCTCCCTCTTCGGTACTTCGAGGATTATGAATCCGGGAAACCAGGTCTCGAAAGGGACGAGCCGCGGACAACCCGAAGAACTCCCGCTGGGTTTTGATGCATGCAAATTTGGCTCGACCAATCCAGAGGAACCCTAAGGATATTCACTCGGTCCAAGGTCGAAAGAGTCCAGTAAGGAGGCAGGTACCCGAATTGACGTCGAGACAATAAGGCATTCACCTATGGATCATGGAAGGTCTACCTCGGCAAGGGCTAGAACAAAGCGACTGGGAAAGGAGGTTAGGGTGTGTGTCTGTGAGTGCAGAATATTGTGCTATACTGAAAATATTACAGATATAAACTGTGTCATGTGGGGGTCACCATCAACCAGTGCACCCAGCTATCCCGGGACAATCATTCGGCGTTGAATATCGTGGCCGCCCGAAAGCCATGAACTGGAAGCAACCGAGAAAGCCATTCAAGCATAGGTGGACGGATTAGCTAGGCCCGTTCCTACTGTATTGGGCGAGCGGCTGTCCGGATGTCAATTGAATGCATGCATGTAGTCCTCGACGTCATGCTGGCCCATTCCGCTGACAGCCGGCCGGCGGAAGTTACATCCATTCCACCCCAATTTCATCATTCGTCTGGAGAAATCGAATGGTCGGGAATTGAACCAGGTGGTCTGACATATGGGAAGTATAAGAAGCATGGTAATGAACAACTTACCCAGAAAGAT